ATATACCTACTATATACAAGTTACCTGTAATGGTGATAATCTACTTAAGAATCCTCATAAGCTAACATGTAAAATCAATATTGAAATTCAATAACTTATAGGCCTACATAACTTAATGAGCTAGCCTATTGATTAAACTTACTATATTTTAAGTTTATTCGATAGCTTAGGCTATATTATGTAGTAAGTTTATTCCATTATGTAATACCGTAAGTAACTTAATAAGTTATTCCATCGATAATATCTTAGCTTTTCTCTTTGGAATTGTAGATTGATGTTTTAAAATTGATTGACTTAATGCTTTTTAATGTTTTTGCAGGTTCATACCCTGATCAACCGACTCTAGGCCTAGTCAGATTTCAAGTTTGCATACCTCTAACCAACATTCGTAAAATGCATTGGAGTGTGGTCACAGATCTCTCTATTACGTAATAAATAAATCCAGCGGTGAACAGGTAAGACATTTATTTGTTTAAATTGTTTATTTATAGTAGTAACATTTTCTATACAGCCTCTGATCCCATGTAGGGGTTGTCATATTAGTGGTGGTTCTAGATTAGAACGTTGTGAAGGGCTAACAGGGGTGATTAACATTAGGAGGGGGTTTCATGGGTTCCCCTTAAGAAAATCTGTTATTTTTATTTTTTTAACTGTGTTTACGTCTAGAACTGTGTTCCAAAACCTCTGTCACCTATTTATGACAAAATTTATGTTTAAACTTATATTTCCAGAGTCAGATTCTAATGGGGAGGGCTCTTGCTTCTATAGCCCTTCACCCCTTGGAACCGCCCACTGCATTATAGTATTTTAATCTGGGAAAAATTGAGAATTAATTTAGTTGGAAGATAAGATATAACGGGACAGCAAAATTGGTAGAATAGGCATATAAGCTTTAACGAATTTCATGCAAATAGGTATATTTGATTAAGGTAATGTGATCATAAATAAAAGCATCTGCCACTATTTAAAATTAAAATTAGGCTTAGGCCTAATACAGATAAACCATTGCTGTTGCTAAAAGCCTAATACAGATAAACCATTGCTGTTGCTAAAATAAACCTGCATTAGTCTTGATTTTAAAATAGGTATGGGTTATATTTTTTGTAAACCATAAGCTGTCGTTGTTCATAAAAAAATGAAGTTGAAACTGTTAATTAGGTACTGAGAAAACCATGATTTGAGGTAGAAATTAATCTGGTCAAAAGGTACATTTTAATTAAATTATGTTAATTTATATTACTGCTATCTAACTCGTACTTAAATACAAGTGAATAAAATGTTGTGGATGTTCAATGAATTTTAGCATTAGTTTGTCTGCAAATGTTAATTTCTCGAGAACATGCTCCATTCAACCCGAATAGACACGTTAAAGTTTTAACATTGCATTCTAGCCGAGGAGAATTTATTGTTCATTCATCCTACACTAGCCTCCTTATTTAAATAACATGTAAAGTTTCTCTGTTCTAGAAGACTGAAGAAGGAACATCACAGGGGCTGTTACTTAGACCTTTCTACAGCATTGATGAATAATTGTCTTGGCAGCAACTAGAGTGACTACGTTACAAGTTAAATCATCTTTCTACTGCAAGGATTCCAATCAACAAAGATTTTTAATCGATAACATATTGTATTGATGCCTTATTCAATCTTAAAAATTGTAAAATAAAGTACTCTTGTATTCTTGTATTGCATTCTTGTGTTCTTGTCCTCTCTGTAGAGGTTATAGAGAAACTTAAAATGTAAATAAGTGAACACAAATGATAGAAAAACAATTTTATATAATAATAAAAACTAAATAATTAATTGAGAGCCCTCTCGATTGGGATAACCCAATTGATATTTTACTTCTTCTATCAAAACAAATACTAAAATACTCTCTTATTGTTTTGTGTTAACTATATATAATTTAAATTATTTACAAAAACATCTTAGTTATATATTTTATTTATCTTTTATATATATTCTATTATAAATTACCACACAGTCAAGTATAAAGTTGAAGCTCGATTATAAAGTGCACTAATCATAGTAGGCCTATCCAGTCAACAAAACTTAAATTGTTCACATCAAGTGGGAATATAATTATTTGAAATAAGTCTTTCCTTCAATAAAATCTTTAAAGAATATTTAATTGCCATGTAAGCTTGGTAGGTACTGAAAAGTGTAGTATACTCATCACCCACTTCAATCAATGTAAGATTTGTTTTCGTTTTAAAATTTGTATGTTTGCTGATATAGCGTTATAAGATACAGGGAAGAACACACTTCACCTTGATTACCTTCGTCAAAATAACAAGTTATTTTCACGTTTTTTTATTTTTCAACTTACTGGTAACCATTTAGCTATCTGCAATATAGGTTGATAATTTTTTTTTTTTTTACATCCAATGAATTATTTACAAAGATGTTTGAAGTTTTTATAAGGTCAAACATGAGGAAACCCCATTTTTACCTCTACTCATAGTCCGATCATGCTGGTTCATGAACGGAACGCTACAACAAACGTTGTTTTACACGTTTGTTAAAAATTTCATCATAATTGGATTATTTTGACTCTTAATTTTGACTTTGAATTATATGTGTATAGGCATAGACTAAACTAAGCAGCACAAGTCTAAGGGAGTATGTTTTATCTACGGTATAGGCTATAATTTACAGTAGAACCTTGATAACAAGACTCTTATAAGGATTATAAAATAAGACTTTGTTATCAAGGTCGACTTTGTTATCAAGGTTCTACTGTCATGAATTGAACAGATGGTGCTAAAGGCTTTTTACTTGAACTGCAACTGTTACAGCAATTACAAATTAAAATTCAAACCAACAATGGGGGTTGTATTATTTTGTTTAGAATTATTATAGGCCTACACCTTATTTTCATATTTTTAGGACCACAACAGACCAAATTTAATTAGAACCGGTTGTTTTTTTAAAAATCTGATTTTTTGTTATGTAATGGGAAAGTAATTGTAACTTTTACAGGTATGGGAGTTGTACCATTTTGTTCAAAATTTAAAACACTAGGTACAGGGGCATTATTTGCCCCCCCCCCTGGATCCTGGGCTAGAGAAAAAAATATGCTGTACTAGCCAATATACAAATATTTTCTCCTGTCAAATCCTAAAAAAATCACAGCAGACAAAAATCTGTATATTCTTGTACAGTAATTTGAAACAATAATTATTATTGTTTTATTGTCTTAGATACCGGACGGTAGCACATTTTGAGTTTACATAAAGTCAGCAGAAACTACTGTACGTACGTAGGCTAGGCATACAGTTAGTTTGTAGAGGAGGATTGAGTAGATGATTTGAATCCGATTGAAATTGAAAACTCAATACTCAGACTCAGATCCAACAACAAACTCGAATCCGATTTTCCGATATCGATAGTGTACACAATTCAATATCGATAGTGTAATTGCAGACTCTCGATAGATCGATTCAATCGTATTCTGTCCGAGTATCGTAGTGAACCCTAGGCTATCCTCCATAGTCCAATCCATCCATATAGCTTTTTAGTCTGCTTTTATTTTGCATAATGAAAATAAAAAATTGTCTATTTTCTTTTTGCCTAAATTGGCAGACTGGAGTTAGTATCATGAAGCCAAAAATATCATTATAATTTAATTCATACATTTAAGAATAAGGGCATTGACTATATAGTCAATGATAAGGGGCACATATTAGAGATCGATGACATATATATATATATATATATATATATATAGAGAAAGAGAAATATATATATATGAATTTGAACGGATGGTGGTTTTGACCTCTGCGAACCTCAAAATGAAAAAGTAAATCGGCCCCCGGTCTAGGTCTTACCATTACACCTACGGTAATAGCTTATTATTCCCTATATGGGAAATTCACTAAAAACTAACTTAAGTTGGTATGAAAAAAAATAATTTTACTACGTATCTTAAGATTGCATTTTATTGTAACTGCAATCATCCGATTTTGATGAAATTTGGTGAACATGTGTAAACTTCTTCATACATAAACGAGTTCGCGAACAATCAAGATCGGACCATGGGTATGGGAACGGGGTTTTGTGGGGGTAAACATTGGGGGTTTCTCATTTTAAACCCTCAAACCATTTTGAAGAACTTAAAAACAAATAATTTAGTATATTGAAGTGTTTTGTGCGGTTATTTTTTATGGAGCAAATCCAAATAAAAAATTTTAATTTAAAATTACCATGTTATATTCTTACGGAGAAACCTAAATAATTGTTATAGGTTGCCTGTTTAAGGCTATATGATATATGTTGATCAAGCTTGGCAAATTTCTTTACACTGAGCTATTGATAGGGTGTTTTTTTTTAAGTGTGCCACCATTGGGATCTCAGTAACTAATGATTTTACAGCAAACTTTAAATGGGGAACATTCCCTTGTTTTTAAAGAGGTTCAAAAATAATTAAATGAAATTTTTGTAAATGGTCGCCATTTTCCAATATGGCGGTCAACTTTGAAATTTTTTACGGAACACCCTATATTTTATCATGTTTTCGGATTGAACATGCAATTTAAAAAAATTTTTATTCTTGACATTTTTTCGATAAACCCACTCGTTTAGGAGTTACAGCCTATGGACAAATGACTTCCGGTGTACATTTTACATCATGTACCTCCTAAACAAGTAGGTTTATAGCGAAAATGCGAAGAGTAAATAAGTCAAATAAGTCTTAAAATTGCATCCACATTCCAAAAAGATCATAAAATTCGTTAAAAATATTAATTCTATTATTTCAAAATTGGCGGCCATTTTCCAAAATGGTGGCAAACTGTTTATTTTATGGTCTTTCCCATGTTAACGTTATGAGCAGTGAGCACTGTACTAGTAGCATTGACTATATAACACTAATAGTCAATGCTAGTAGTATCCAATAATCAATGGTTAAGGTTCACCTTAGATTTTACTGGTCTTTGGGGGAGAGTTAAAAAAAAATCATACTGTCAAATCAACGTCAAACTTTATTTTTATTTACTATAATTTTAGGTTATGTTGTTGTTGTATGTCATCAGTTTTGAGTTTCAGTTTGTAAATTTGTAATATAATACCGTATCCCAAGTCTACACATTAGGCACAATCCCTGAAAATGGATACTGCTAATCAGGACAGTAAACATCAGCATTATGAATTGTTTTTGCAAGAGATTGAGGGTATAGATGACTATTGGGGTCCTACATTCAGGTAAGAGTTTAAATTGAAATTACTTTCCCACCCCCTCCGTCTCCTTGACAACACCCCTTTAATTCAACCCCTGGCCACACCTACTGCGCCTGTCTATTCTAAATTGTTTTAGATATTTACATAACCTATGCATATTATTGTGACTCTCAAGTTTGCAGAAATTTACAGTAAAAACTACTACACCAAAAATTTGAAACAAACAATAGTTTTAGGTCAAACTTTCAATTAGGCCGAGTATACAAGGCCTAAATTTATCCTTATGGCATTACCATTTCAAATGTCTTTGCAATCAAAATATGACCATTTAATTCATGAAATAGAGACTTCTGACATCAACAGTACTGGTCTGGTAATTAGGTTAGTAGCATATATCTAATTATTGTAGAAAAGTGTAAAAGTTGGCCTCATTATAACCAATTTAAGTTACTTAACATGTATGGAATCAGTTAAGCTAGGGTAATATTCGGCTAAGTTTTGAGGCTGTAGTTGGAGCTACCTCTTCATATCTTATTGGTAAGTTACTGTTTCCTAGCAAAATTGTTTAGATATCGGCTGCACTTTAGTATCCGTCCTACACTCATTCGAATGAATATATCGATCAATAGCCTATATAAAATATTTCATTCGATATATCAGGTTTGGTTAGTTAGGTTAACCTAACCTCACTAACCGAATGAAATACCGCAATCGATAGATCGATAATCTATATGTCGATATTTTTCATTCGAATGAGTGTAGGACAGATACTAAATAGTCTGTGCAGATACTAAATAGAAAAAGTGTAGCCTAGATATCTAGCCTGATATATTTATGACTAAAAAAAAATTGAAACGTGCATGTGCTGTAGATAGGTACACTAGTTCAAAATATGTTTAGATGGCAATATTCTGCAATAAAACTGGCTTTGGGCATAGTACTAAGAGATTCTGATAGATAGCAGCACTACCCAGGTTGCAGTCGGTAAAGTAGTGTCGCTATCTATCAGGAAAGAGGTGGGACAAAGCCTTGTTCTAAACGACCCTGGTGGTGATTTTGGGAAACTATATTTTTTATTGTCAGAAAAGTACGCCCCCTTGAGCTGCAAAGAAATATGGGACCCTCGTGACGAGCAGGCTGATCCATGGAAACGTTAAACAACAATGAACGGTGACGTTCCGGAACGTTCCTAGCTCCTGGCGCCATGGTCCGGCTGACGTTCCGGAACGTCCGTAACAGCGAACGTGTTAATTCACAAGGTTCAACATAGGGCACTCTAGAGCCACTGGACTAGGGTGAAGCCCAAAAGCATTTTTGAGATAAGAATATCCTAAGTGTTTTGTCTATATGTTAATCGGGAATGTGAGCTTTCATCATACAAAATTTCCACCCAATCATACCGGTAGTTAATACATGATTAAACTTCAAACAAACTTTCACATTTATAATATTAGTATACATATATTAGTATGATATGTTAGGATACCTATTTTAGTTCAGTTTGTATCTATTTAAAAGCTACTGAATTTTCCGAGGATCCAACCAACGACCTTCTGATTAATATGCAAACATTTATTCATCTATTTATTTATTCATATCAACGGATACATCATTTCACAAAAAATATTATATGTTTGTCTAGACACAATAGCAGAGTGAAATACAGTAGAACCTCTTTAATCCGAACCCCCGTAATCCGAACGTCCACTAATCCGAACCCCTCATTGCTGTACTCTATACACAGTACAGCAGTTCTTTATTGTATACTGTATTTAATTTTACAGTAGTGTTTATTCACTATGTTAACTACTGTATTAAATAAACACTGTATTTTACTTTATAAAACCTTTTTTCACTATTCCCAAAATAATATTGATCAATTTTAGCCATGTTTTAGCTATTGTTATGTAAAAACAACAATATGTTCTGTAATCCAAACTATTCAATAGTCCGAACTACCCCTGGTCCCAATTAGTTCGGATTAAAGAGGTTCTACTGTAGTAATGTTCATTGGATAACTTATCTGGCCTCAGCTACCCAGCGCTATATACCCAGACTTTACCTGTACAACTTCAATGAATTAACTTTATAATCATCTGATTGCTGAAAAAACTTTTTTTAAATCATGAACGTTGCAGTTTAGAGAGTTCGTTGTGTCCTTGACAATTGGACAAACCTAAACAAAATGAAGTCTAGGAAAATATGACTCATTTGGTCTTTCCTGTCTACTCTTTGTCCAGGATTTTTTTGTAGCAAAACTATGAAACGTTCTAATCAAGTTTATTTAATGAACTAAGTTTTATCTTCAGAAACTTAATACAGCTTATTATTTTTTTTTATCTAAAAAATTGCCTTCAATTAATACATTTAAACCATATATATAATCTAAAGTAATCATATCGCCTAATCAGAATTTTTTCTTTAAAAGTTATATAGGTATTAATACATTTTATTTATTATCTCCACAACATTCTACTTTTTTCAGTAATTTACAAATAGAATTCGACAGTAGTATGGGCTAATCCTTATGAACTAATAGGCCTACGTTATCAATAAAAAAATGAACATTTATTCAAAGTCAACCCTCCACAAAAGTTTTGCAAATATCAAACATTAGAATACACTACATATACAAAATAATAATTTAATATAAATGGAATGGATGGATAACATCAATAACGAGTTATGGCTAGAGACTGTACAACCCAAAAAAGGCACGTCACAAAACAAACACTTCCCTAACATTCAATATTTTATCATCCTCAGTCTGATGTAGATTCACTCTTAGTATCAAAGTGATACTGATAAAGCTTATACTTTAGTACATGATTTCCTCATAAAACTTGTGATTTTTCCGTTCTAGTCAGTCTAGTCTTAAACATTTCAGCAGGAGGTGAAAGTTATGCTGGTAAAGTTATTCATGTAATTTTGTGTGAATACTTTAAACTTACAATGAAGTAGAATTCCAACCACCAAACATAAATATTCCTATCTGTTGGTTCCCACAAGACACCATGATAAATACTGGTGATGGTTTGTACCGAGTGTGAGAGGTCTACCGTGGGAGTGAGTGGTCAAAGGTCAACTTTGCTCTGATTAGAGTCACTGTGATTGTAACTGTGCCATGGATCAACATCATCTCGTACCAGATCCACTGTTGAATCATTTATTTGGTGTTAATCTTTTGTAAGATTACTAATTTACTGTATTTTCACATAGTACAATTTTGTTATTCAAGCTAAGTAATGAGAACAGCATTGTTCAATATGACTCATGTACATTGTTTAATTTTGATAAAAAATTTGAAGTCGAAAAAATGAAACTAAAAATAATTATAGGATTATTTATATCATCAATGACTGTATCTTCCCGAATTAATAATCCTGTTAAACTAAATTGGAACATTTAGTTAAATAACTCAGGGTTAACAGTCTACACTGGTACCTATAACAAAATGTTATAATAACTCATACACTATGGCAAAATAAATAATGCAGTAACGGTAGTGTGTTAACAGCAAATAATATTAGTGTGAAAACAGGATAACCTTATTAATTCTTTATTATTGTGGTCTATGAATAATAAATACTACTGGTCGTCCAGTGGTCGAAAACTCAACCAAAAACATGTAATGTACATGTATTGACAATTGGATACTGAAGTAGACTCCCATCTATATGGACCAGCTGTTGCCAGCTGTCGTTTTTTTTTTTTTATTATTAAAAAACATGTAGTTGTGTGAGCCATTCACCGAAAGCGTGGCTTAAATTCTATTTTATACCTTATTTTTTCTTGCTGACAAAGTTGATGGGTCATAACAGATGCTATAGCCCATTCCAACAGTTTGACTTGGTAAAAAACATTGTGTATTCGACAGAAATTTAGTCATTTAGATCAGCGCAGTCTGTTGGTGGCTCACATCAACTACGACGAATCTAATATAAAAAAAAAACTGGTGACAACTTTAATATGGGGATGGAATGTAAAGGTGCAGGCTTCTCTATTTTCACCCCACGCTGTAAATAAAACATGTGATTAGAATTTCCTCTATTTGTTTTGTTTTTATATTTATATTTCATTGTTATTTCGTCACCAGCATGGCAACCCATAAAGCCCATGTTAAAAGTTTTTAAATTTCAAATTAATTTTTTGTGCTTATATTTGAGCCTATTTTAATTTTTAAAGGGATTCTGCACTTCTAAAGGAAAATATCTTTCTAACGGTATGTGTAGATTTCCCCTGCGATGCACACGAGCTGAGAAAAAAGGTTTTAAAGAAACATGCTTGCCTATTAATAATAAATGAAAGTTGGATACTATTAAGATTGACAAAGAAAGTTAGATACTAATGTCTATATTAATTTGAAACTGATTTATCAATTAACCCCTTAACTTGATTGGAATATACCCAATGAATGAAATCTCTTTCAGAGCGATTTATGATGGAGATGAACACCAAAAGTTCATGGAGCAACTGGACGCCCGCATCAAGAACCACGACCGAGATATCGAGAGGATGTGCAACTTCCACTATCAAGGGTTTATTGACTCCATCAGGGAACTGCTTCAAGTCCGCTCTCAGGCACAGAAACTCAATGTGAGTAGAATCAACATTCAAGCTGAATTAAGATATTATTTTCCTAACCTCTTAGACTTTTGAGTCAAACACAGCCGATAAAACTGAAATTATATCACACCTTCTATAATTTTATTAGTTATATCTTTTGGTTTGTTATCTGCTGGCACACTGGAACTAGTGTATAGGGCTTTAAAGTAATGGCAAATCTATCTTAAAATGCTCCACCATTAAAGGACTAACTTCTTCCTCTCAATATCTGAAATAAACGTCATCATTTTAAATTAAATAATTGTTTAGCCTACATTATTTTATTTCAGAGTGAGGTTGTGGAAATGGACGAATCTCTACAGAATTCGGCCGCCAATGTGACAGAGAAGGCAGAAGAATTAGTGAGGGCTCGCAAAGTAGAGAAGAACATTGCAGGAGCAATTGAAAACCTTTCTCAGTGTCTCCCTGTTCTCAACACGTATGCCAAACTCCAGAAGCAGATGAGTGAGAAGAGGTTGGGATGTTTAAGTTACCTTAAAACTAGGTGTTGTAGTGTAAATATAGCACCATGTTATCTAATTAATACATTACATGCCCAACATTGAAAAAGAAGGAATTAATAATATAATATATAAGACTTACCGTCTTGAAACAATCCAGTTTTTGTACTCAGTGTACAGCTGTTTCGGCTTCATAAAGCCATCTTCAGCACATTCTTCTAGAGGTCAATTCATTATAAATATGTGAACATTCTGGTTCTTGTCAACTTTTTACAACACATTTTACACAACATAAAAGATGAAAACATAAACTTTGGTAGGCCTACCCTACTTGTATGTAATTACTTGTACTTCAAAAGTGAGGTTATGTCGCGACATACAAGTAGGGTAGGCCTACCAAAGTTTATGTTTTCATCTTTTATGTTGTGTAAAATTTGTTGTAAAAAGTTGACAAGAACCAGAATGTACGCATATTTATAATGAATTGACCTCTAGAAGAATGTGCTGAAGATGGCTTTATGAAGCCGAAACAGCTGTACACTGAGTACAAAAACTGGATTGCTTCAAGACGGTAAGTCTTATATATTATATTATTTAAAAAGCAAATCCTGGTCAGCCAACCAGAAAGTAAGGAATTAATCTTAATTTTATTGATTAAACAAAAATACCATAGGTTACTGCCAGATATGTTTCAAATCAATACCAAAACTTGGAAACACTTCTTCATTGAAATTTGAACTACCGTACACCACTAACTGATTGAACAATCATAGAATATTTAAAAAAATTGGTGATTTTTACTTGAGATATTCTACTAGGCCTAATAGACTCATTTATATACGAATATGAATGGCCCAGTTTTTTTTTTTGCCTCTAAAGACTTGAAATGATAAAGTGAATTGGTTGCGGGTCCAGGTCTTACTATGTGACGTACGGTAATAGTTAACTCCCTATATGGGCAATTCGCTAAAAATAACTAATTAACTCTTTGAGTATCATACATTCTTACAGAGCTTGTACTATTATTCTTCATTATTTTTAGTTTAGTTTTTGAGGCGGGGGTATTTAAGTTATTCTATGTTATTCTCAAACAGTTGTTATAAAGCTATTATATCATAAAGCTAGTTCTCCAGTTTATGCTTGTTTTATATTTCAGGTATTATCCCGCATTAAAAACATTAGAGCAGCTGGAACACCATCATTTGCCAACAGTCTCAAACTACAGATTTTCTCATCAGATGAAGGAAAGCATCCCAAAGTGAGTATAGTGAGCATTCTTGTATTCACTGGCTGTAACTGGCTGGGTAGCTGAGTGGTTAAAGTGCTCCCCTACTAATCAAAAGGTCGCCGGTTCGATCCTGAGAAAAGTCAGTAGCTTTTTGATGGTTCGAAACTGGACCCAGCTGTTCCTGATCATTGGGCTTTAAATAAATGATCCTGGCTAATGAAACAGCTGATCTTAGTCAGTAACAAAGCTACACAGATCATCTCACACCATTCTAAACTCATCCTTCACTCATATTTGGGTTAAAATACGCACCTAAGTGGCGTCCCCATCTTAATGATGGAAAATTGAAATTGAAATTGAAATTCACCCTTTGAAAAGGTGTTACGAGTGTATCACTAAGGATGAAGATTAAATTTTAAGACAGGTGAACATGTGATTTTGTGCTCCCTTGAATTTTGTATATTTCAGTGGTAAATCCCAATTTTTAAACCATCATTTCGGTATGTAAATGTATAGATAAACTTCTTCTTGGGATAAGAGACCAAATAAAATTGGAGCATTTTTCTGAAAATATAATTAAATTCCAAAAATCAACTGGTGCCTGCATTGACATAGGAGAAGAATCCAACTGGAAATCTCTGGAGAGGCCTGCCCTACAGTGGATTTTTACAAAAATTTAAACTTTTAACTACAAAGCACACGTCAGGAAACTCTATGATGCTACTTTTTTTTTTAAATACAGTCGAACCTCTGTAAGACAAATTTCAAGGAGTAGGGGAAAAATCATATAATTGTGGTATTCTTAATAAAGAGGTTCGTTTTATCGAGGCTTAAACTGCCATCATTTGTCTGCTTGCAAAACAATAATTTTATTGTTACATGTATTTTTTTGTAGTCTTGACCAGGTACCTAAAAAAGTTTCACGTTTGGGTTTTAGATTAAATATTTGACTTTTTAAAGTTTCGGTTTAGGTTTTTTAGGTACAAAATTTTTGGTTTGACCGCTTTACTTTACTTGCCATGGTGACTCTGAGTCAGAGATGACTCATTTATGCCCTGCCAGGCAACACCAAAGTTCACATTTTCACACATTTATTGACCACAGTCTTGTACATTAATCTCATGTTGTTGTTTAAAACATTACAGGTTAAGAGAGAGCATTAAAGAAGCTTCAATGTCAGATTTGAAAGATTTTCTTGAAAACATTAGAAAGTTTTCTCCAAAAATTGGTGAAGTTGCAATGAGACATGTAAGTATACTATCAGATTGTATAGTAATAGTAGGCTATACTTTTAGCTAGCTTGTATGTTTTTATCTATTCATTGAACTGTAGTGAATGTTTATAAATCGATAAATATTTAATATTTATTTGTGTAACTAGTGTGTGAAGTGGCACTTTGCTGCACTCAAGAAACTTTCCAGACTCGCCTGCGGCTTGTGCGTAATTATTCCTCTCATATGCAGCAAAGTGCCACTTCACACACTAGTTACACAAATAACTATTCAATATTTATCAATTTATAAACATTACACATTATATTTTTCCTACAGTTACTATAGAGCATCTATATATTAATACGCAAGCAGGTTTCTTTTCACAGTCATAACTCGATAACGGTTTGACGGATTTTAACGTTTGAGGTGTCTAATTAAAGGTATTTTTACGTAGATGTGCAAATACGTCTTAGAAAATTAAGAAATGGCACCATTTAAGTACACTTAAGGGCTAAAGTTTGGAAGGCGGCGCTATCTGTTGACATTTGATCAAACTCATTCACTTTTGTTTACAAATAACATATGGACGTACTGTAGTTTGAAATAGTTTTTAAGGTTAACCACAGACTGCAGGACTTAAAACTTCCAGAGTAAAGCTAGGACTTATATTTTGTTTCAATCTGTTAACTAAGTCTGGTTCATAAATAAATAGTTTCCTGGCAAGACCTGACAATAAATTGTTTGTAATAGTTTAATTTATTTACCTTATATCGTATTTTACTGAATTATCATGTATTTTTGGTTCCAGTTCTGTGTGATTAAGTGAATGTTTGAAAGTTATAATTCACATTGTAGTTACCCGTTACATTACCATATTATGATGTAATTTACAATGTGTATCAAAATTCTTTTGTTGTGTTTTCTGTTGATTGGTTAATTAATTTTATTAATTAAATTTTGGTTCATATTTTATCTGTATTTAATATTAAATGCCACCAGTAAGACGAATAACTGTGAGTGGCTGAAGGGAACGCAATCGTGGCCGCTTGCATCAACATCTCAATTTGACGGATAGAGTGGAAGTACCGCCGTGGTGATCATCCAATCTCGGACAAATGAATGTTAAATGTTTACATTGTGGTAGCTTACATTTTAAGAAAAGACTGGCCGAGACAGTTCAATTGTTACTCTTTGTTGCCGTAAATGAAAGGTTCGTTTACCTCATTTGCGGAAGTCGCCATACTTTCAGGAACTTATTGGAAACTCCCAATCTGAAAACAGAGCTGAGAGGCTTGGCTCCAGAAATAAACTGGATAAAATTTGTCAATTCAATTCCGCCTTTGCCATGGTCAGCTCTGAAGCTCATTTTGACGAGAGGGTCATACAAGGGATCTACAATTTCAAGATCCATGACAAGTTTTACCACCGAGTAGGTAATCTAATACCTCAAGAAAGTCAGTCATGATCCTGAATACGCACAGATCTATAATTTCATCTATAAGTAAGAAAAAAACGTAATGAAAAAGTAATGCTGGAAATAGGGTTACAATGCCAACCCATTTGCCCAATCTTTTAAAACTGTGGCAGAAATTTGTAGGCACGAGTGCTCCGAGGAGTCAAGCTAGATTGTTATGTACAGTAAGAGACAATAGAAGTGTCTTTCCTCGCTACAATTATGCTACCTGTACAGATGTCACAGCTATTTTAAAGCTGAAAACAGAGCACCGCCTAGCGAAATAATCTTAGTTTTTTTATTTTTTATTTTCAAAATCTAATATTGTTAAACGTGAATCCGTTCTCGACAGTCGTTAAATCCGCACTTATGTTCCCAACCTGGGACTTTAGTAAGGACCCCTAATTTAAACACGCCTAAAACAGGACATACCGTAGAAATAGTTTAACAATGCTATAGTACGTGTCGTACTGGTTGGCGTCAAGAGAGGGACTTTGCTACATTAGGTCCGAAAAGATCACTTTACTGTGTGTGGTTGACATCTACGTGATCATATAGGGCACCCGCCCTACAGTACATAAGATATAACCAAAGAAGTATGAGAACGGATCTAGGCCTACATTTAAATATTGTTGATTACTTTTATAGTTCTTTTCAACATAATATTTTTCACATTTATATAATCAAATTACTTTAGAGTGACTCTATGATTGAAGTTTTGCTGTTTTTTGTTCTTTTTTTTTGTTTTTTTGTTCTTCAACATTTTATTACAAGTTGCGGTTTTGCTCGATTTCGAGCAACAGGTTATCTAGTATATTTAATTAGTCTTTTAAACTCTATTCAACATGTTAGCGAATTTCCCTATAGGGAAGTATGTTACCGTAGGTCTCATGGTAAGACCTAGGCCCGGGACCGATTTACTTTTTCATTTTGGTGTCCTCAGAGGCCAAAAACACCATTCGTTCAAATTTTTATATATATATGTCTCCATCCGCACGATAACTTGAGTAATTTTTGTCCGATTTTGATCAAATTTGGTTTGAAGGTGTAAGGCGGGATAAACTTGAACGAGTTCGCGAACCAGCATGATCGGACCATGGGAACGGGGTTTAACGGGGGTAAAAATGGGTTTTTCTAATTTTTTACCCTTAAAACACAAAACTTATCAATATTTCTCCAGACCTTTTTAAAGAGCTTAAAAAACAAATAATTTAGTATATGAAAGTGTTTTTGTACGGTGATTGGTTACGAAGAAAATTCAAAAAATTGTTAATTTAAAATTCCCATGTTATTATTATGGAGAATATAATATGTTGTAGTTGGCTTGTTTTTGGATATATTTTGATCAAACTTGGCGAATTTATTTATTTCATACTAAGCTATTGATATTTTAATAAAAAAAACACACTTTATTAGTTTCCCTATAGTAGCTAACCTAGGTATTCGTTATATAAATGTTAATTTAATATATTAATTGAAAATCAATCCAGGCAAATGGAAATTCGCTTTGTCGGCAGGTTTGCTGCAGCGGGGGTATTTTTAGGTTAAAAGGTTAAATACAAGCGATGAACTTAAAGTGCTGCTAACTTATTTTCAAGCGTACATATATTACGTACCCAATAAAAGTACACTGTTTTGAGTTGTTTGGTTGGAATACTGGAGTGCGGCAAAAATTTTAGTGTGGCAAAAGTAAAATGAGTGCGGCAAAAATAAGTAAATGCATCAATTGGCTACTTGGCGTGCTATAATAAGTGCAAGGAAGCCCACTTTGTCAGGTACGGTAACTGTAGGAAAAGGTGTTTTGAATGTGAATCACTTAATAATTAATGAACAGCTGTTCTTTCAAATCAAACAACTAAGAGAATGATCAAACTACCCTTATATTTTCTCAGACTGCTGAGCAGATGGGAAGCAGTGATCAAGGTATAATTGGTAAAAAGAAGAAGAAACAAGCTCCTCCACCACCAAACCCATTCACAGGTACTTCTTAATTTACATTCATGCAGCTTTATACTTTTTCATTATATAATCAATTAAATATCTGTTATATTATGAAATATTTTATTAAATTTGTGTCATAAATATAAGATCCACAATCTTGTTCCATAAGTAGCCTAAGATGAAAATTTCAAGGCCTGATTGATTTTCTAAATCAAATCTTAGTAGGCCTCAAAGATTAATTGAAGCAGAGTATTTTAAATTTAAGAGTAGTTCGTTCAGAAGTTTAAAAAAATCTGAATTTGCTGTGGTCCTTTCCTTATGATACATCTTTATAAGCTATGCTCCTTGATCTGCAAGAGAGATTATAGACCCCAGTGTAAGACTGGACACAGAGGAGGACCTTAGTGCCCAGGATCTCATAGACTTCTCTCCTGTCTATCACTGTCTTCTCATCAAATGTGTCATGTCCTTATGAGATGTCTTTGTAAGTTATGTTCCTTGATCTGCAGGAGAGATCATAGACCCCAGTGTAGGACTGGACACAGAGGAGGACCTTAGTGCCCAGGATCTCATAGACTTCTCTCCTGTCTATCACTGTCTTCTCATCAAATGTGTCATGTCCTTATGAGATGTCTTTGTAAGTTATGTTCCTTGATCTGCAGGAGAGATCATAGACCCCAGTGTAAGACTGGACACAGAGGAGGACCTTAGTGCCCAGGATCTCATAGACTTCTCTCCTGTCTATCACTGTCTTCTCATCAAATGTGTCATGTCCTTATGAGATGTCTTTGTAAGTTATGTTCCTTGATCTGCAGGAGAGATCATAGACCCCAGTGTAGGACTGGACACAGAGGAGGACCTTAGTGCCCAGGATCTCATAGACTTCTCTCCTGTCTATCACTGTCTTCTCATCAAATGTGTCATGTCCTTATGAGATGTCTTTGTAAGTTATGTTCCTTGATCTGCAGGAGAGATCATAGACCCCAGTGTAAGACTGGACACAGAGGAGGACCTTAGTGCCCAGGATCTCATAGACTTCTCTCCTGTCTATCGCTGTCTTCTCATCTAATGTGTCATGTCCTTATGAGATGTCTTTGTAAGTTATGTTCCTTGATCTGCAGGAGAGATCATAGACCCCAGTGTAGGACTGGACACAGAGGAGGACCTTAGTGCCCAGGATCTCATAGACTTCTCTCCTGTCTATCGCTGTCTTCTCATCAAATGTGTCATGTCCTTATGAGATGTCTTTGTAAGTTATGTTCCTTGATCTGCAGGAGAGATCATAGACCCCAGTGTAAGACTGGACACAGAGGAGGACCTTAGTGCCCAGGATCTCATAGACTTCTCTCCTGTCTATCGCTGTCTTCTCATCAAATGTGTCATGTCCTTATGAGATGTCTTTGTAAGTTATGTTCCTTGATCTGCAAGAGAGATTATAGACCCCAGTGTAGGACTGGACTCAGAGGAGGACCTTAGTGCCCAGGATCTCATAGACTTCTCTCCTGTCTATCGCTGTCTTCTCATCTAATGTGTCATGTCCTTATGAGATGTCTTTGTAAGTTATGTTCCTTGATCTGCAGGAGAGATCATAGACCCCAGTGTAGGACTGGACACAGAGGAGGACCTTAGTGCCCAGGATCTCATAGACTTCTCTCCTGTCTATCACTGTCTTCTCATCAAATGTGTCATGTCCATGTCCTTATGAGATGTCTTTGTAAGTAATGTTCCTTGATCTGCAGGAGAGATCATAGACCCCAGTGTAGGACTGGACACAGAGGAGGACCTTAGTGCCCAGGATCTCATAGACTTCTCTCCTGTCTATCGCTGTCTTCTCATCTAATGTGTCATGTCCTTATGAGATGTCTTTGTAAGTTATGTTCCTTGATCTGCAGGAGAGATCATAGACCCCAGTGTAGGACTGGACACAGAGGAGGACCTTAGTGCCCAGGATCTCATAGACTTCTCTCCTGTCTATCGCTGTCTTCTCATCAAATGTGTCATGTCCTTATGAGATGTCTTTGTAAGTTATGTTCCTTGATCTGCAGGAGAGATCATAGACCCCAGTGTAAGACTGGACACAGAGGAGGACCTTAGTGCCCAGGATCTCATAGACTTCTCTCCTGTCTATCGCTGTCTTCTCATCAAATGTGTCATGTCCTTATGAGATGTCTTTGTAAGTTATGTTCCTTGATCTGCAAGAGAGATTATAGACCCCAGTGTAGGACTGGACACAGAGGAGGACCTTAGTGCCCAGGATCTCATAGACTTCTCTCCTGTCTATCGCTGTCTTCTCATCTAATGTGTCATGTCCTTATGAGATGTCTTTGTAAGTTATGTTCCTTGATCTGCAGGAGAGATCATAGACCCCAGTGTAGGACTGGACACAGAGGAGGACCTTAGTGCCCAGGATCTCATAGACTTCTCTCCTGTCTATCACTGTCTTCTCATCAAATGTGTCATGTCCATGTCCTTATGAGATGTCTTTGTAAGTAATGTTCCTTGATCTGCAGGAGAGATCATAGACCCCAGTGTAGGACTGGACACAGAGGAGGACCTTAGTGCCCAGGATCTCATAGACTTCTCTCCTGTCTATCGCTGTCTTCTCATCTAATGTGTCATGTCCTTATGAGATGTCTTTGTAAGTTATGTTCCTTGATCTGCAGGAGAGATCATAGACCCCAGTGTAGGACTGGACACAGAGGAGGACCTTAGTGCCCAGGATCTCATAGACTTCTCTCTTGTCTATCACTGTCTTCACATCTACTTTGTCATGTCCTTGTGAGATATGTCTTTGTAAGTAATGTTCCTTGATCTGCAGGAGAGATCATAGACCCCAGTGTAGGACTGGACACAGAGGAGGACCTTAGTGCCCAGGATCTCATAGACTTCTCTCCTGTCTATCGCTGTCTTCACATCTACTCAGTACTGTCATCACGAGATGTTTTTGAAACATACTATCGCAAACAGAGGAAGAAGCAAGCAAGACTAGTTCTTCAACCGCCTACTAATATGGTTTGTTAACAATTGATGCATGATAATTTATTATGCATGGTACCCTTAAAATTGGAAAACGCCCAATGGGTGACTGAGTAAATTTGCAGCTGCAATAAAATTGCTAGATGTACAGGCTTACATGATGGCTTATGTAGTTAACCATAACAAAGTCTTTAGAAGTACTCTGTATTTAACTAGATTAAAAAAAAAGTAGCAGTTTAGGTTTGCAATAACAGATTTAAGATTATTATCTAAATTACTAATTTGAAGATTTTTCAGATGTCATTTGACAATTTTCAATGATACTGTTAAATTTTTTACCTTAGCTATGTTAAATTGTAAACTTCCTTTGTCCGTTAAATCTATTAAATTATTTGGACTATATTTAATTTTGTTACCGCCATAGACATTGTTCTGTCAGTCAGTTGACAATTTAAATAAGAGACTGTTTCATTTTCACAGCATGAATCAATTGATGGGTACCGAACTTACATCTACAGCGTTGTTGGATTTTTCGTTATAGAAGATCATATCCTCAACACAGGCAATGGATTAGTAAATCGCTCATATCTGGATGAAGTTTGGGGAATGGCCCTTTCAAAGATAATGAATGCTCTCAGAACCCACTCGGTAAGCACACAGCATATTATTAAAAAACTTGAACTATTGTTTATAGTTTTATTTTAGTTTCTCTTTAATTTAGTTGATGATCAACCCATTGATGTTGGAACTTGAACTTCAAATGTTGACGTTGTTATGTAGGTTTGATAACTCATTTTTGCTTTTTACTTTTTATATTATAATAATGTAAATTAGGAAACTATAATAGTTTTAATTGTACTAAAGTCTGTTCTGTCTATAATTTTTTTTTTTCTGATCAAAAGTATCGTTGTACTGAAAGTGATTTTCCCGCACCTGCTCCAATTATTGTTGACTTGGCTTCACCTCGCAAATTAAATTTAGTGTTCTTGTTCGACTTTGCCTCTCGCATGAAACTTGAGCGTTCACCGGAAAATACCACTTTCGGCACTTGTAATGAAATATACTATTCTAGAACATTCACAGTTTAGAAACATTTGAAGATAAAACCTACGTACTAACTTATCCACTTACTTTTCCAGGCATACTGTACAGATGCAAATCTCATGCTGAAGATAAAAAATCTGATCATGTTGTTCAGTACTACGCTCAGGGTAAGTTTGAAGTGCTCACTTGATACATTTTTGATTTATTTCAAATTAGCATATTACGTGTATTTAGTGTTAACCCTTTTAGTTCCACGATTTAATAAAAATAATGTTTACTTAAGGTTAAGTACTTAGATTAGCAGTAGGCACTCAATATCATGGTTGAAGATGCAAGTTTATTTTCCAGTTGTGAAAGCAAGACATAAAATATAAACCTTGTAAATCAAGCTTAGTAGTAATAACTACTAAGATATCATGAAGATTTTACATGTTTTTGAGCTGTAAATTATACTTTAAATGATTACAAGCTTGTTGATATTTACAGAACTATGGGTACTCGGTAAACCAGTTGTCTGAACTTTTGGCAGAAATCAGAGTTCACTATAATGAAGTGCTCATGAAGCGTTGGGTCCAAGTCTTCAGAGAAATTCTCGATGAAGAGAATTTCCTTCCCATTCAGGTAAATAATATGATTAGTCTATAAACTCGGTAGATAAAAGCTTTCCTAAAACTGATGGTTATTAGGAGGTGATAAATTACAAAATGGTATAATAGTCCAGGCGCCAAACGGGTTGAGTATGCACTGAAAGTCTGACAAAATTTGACTTTTGATTATTGTTGGGGACATCTAGTAGATGAAAAAAATCGATGATGTCGCATTTCTAGGGTGGTCACAATTCGGGGGGGGAGGGGGGGAAGTTGCGTGGGTCATCAGTTTACGTTTCCGCGTCTAACTCACAAACGGTTAATGATAGAAAGGTGAATTAAGCGTCTATCTACGCCTAAATATATTATCCTTCAAAAAGGTTATTACAACCTTTCTTCTATCTCTTATACTTTAGGCGCTAATCAACATTTATTGCAAAAAATTAGATTTAAAAATAATTTAAAATGAAATATTGGAAATATTGCGCTTGTTTAGGGCATGTTACAAACTATTTATGGTTAGAAAAACTAACAAGTTGTACAACAGCACCAAGTTTAAAGAAATCTGTGCAAAAACAACAGAGCTACGTTAATTTCAGTAAGAGTAAACGTGGAAAATTCATAGTAGTATCGAGGCGCGCATGGATGCTACGTAGCCCACAATCAATATAGGTTTGATGTTGTAAGTAACTATGGGAAAGCTGAATTTTTCTATGCTGTTAGACCATGTTGATCATTTTCCCGAAAGTCAACACTCCTCCCCCCTTGTGCTTTCCTCTAACCCCCCTTTTTAGATAAATTTACTGCCTCTTAGCAATTAAGCTATAACTTTAAAACGGGTAAGGATAATAATGCAATCTTTTATTAATCATTTTGCGTTACGATAATCTACAAAAATAATTATTAGATAAATAAATATTTAAAAAGAATTATGATAGATTTCTGAAGAAGAAGAAGAAAATGTGTTCATTGTAATAAAATATCAATACAGTGTTTTTTTATTTAAATGCAAAGAACAATGGTCAAAGACCGTCTGTTTTGTGTTAGACACACTGATTTTAAAATATTTTAAAACAGTTTAAAAAAATTCTATGAATCACATACAATTATTCATGAAATAAACTGATTTCAACTACAGAATATACACAAATAGCACTACATAGTAATAAAGATCAGATAACAATTGAATGAATAATAAAATTTAAATGTAGCCTACTGAGAATCAGAATTTCTCTTGCAAACAGTTAATAATTCATAAAACAAACCTGTTACTTTTATAATTTACTTTGATAGATACTTAACAAATAATATTTTATAAACTTTTTAAATTACATAGATTTTTCCCATTTTTGTATTGATATCTCAATTCTTAAATTTAATAATTAAACTCCATTATCAATTCCCACCCTTTACTCCACGCCCCTTTGAGATAATTTCCAAGTGCCCACCAATCTTTGCCATTTAAAAATTAAAAAAAAAAACTCATATTCATTTAAATATAACTTGTTGGACCAAAATTGACGTATCTTTTTTTTTAATTGGATATTCTGCTATAAAAGGGTACACGTTTCATCCCGGTTGAGATTACATAGTGGACATACATACATTTTATTTTCCATATAGAGTTAACTTTTTATTAGACGACCCCCTTTGTTTGTAAAAAATGTTTTTATGGATGGTTACGAATAAAAAAAATATATCCACCATTTTCCAATATGGCCAACAACTTTGTTATTTCTTATGGAATACGCTGTATTTTAGTATTATTTTAGAATTTAAAAGCTATTTTTTTATTCGTGACATTTTTTCTCTAAACCTACCCCATTTAGGAGTTACAGCGTGTTATATCTAAAAGAAAGGCTTGTGGTGTACATTCGGCATCCTGTAGCTCATAAACGAGTAAGTTGAGAGAGAAAGTGCAAAGAATAAATAAGTCACATATAAGTCCTCGTTCAAAAACATATATAAAATACGTTAAAAAATACTGATTTTGTTGTTTTAAAAATGGCCACCATTTTCAAAAACGGTAGCTTACTTTGTTATTGGAACAATTTATTTTATAGTTTTTTTAAAATGTAGATGTGATTTGAAAACTTGTTTATTCTTTGTATTTTCGCTCTTGAACTTACTCGTTTATGAGCTACAGGATGCAGGATGTGCTCACAAACCATTTCTTCTTCGATGTAACTCCTAAACAAGTAGCTTTAGAGAAAAATGTCAAGAATAAAGAGGTTTAAAAATTGTGCGTTTACATTCTAAAACAATCATAAAATACAGGGTATTCCATAGGACTAACAAAGTTGTCAGCCATATTGGAAAATGGCGAACATATTTTTAACTAGTATATCACTATAGTCTGTATATGTACTGGATGAGCTACATAACGTTAATATAATCTATATAAAGCGGCAAATTCAAATACAAAAAACCATAATATACGTAATTTTTTTCATTGTTGCGGTGCACAAAAAAGCCAGAGTCCTGTACAATCAATATACTGTACTATCTATAACCACTATATGCAAACAAACTGTTAATAACTATGTATCATTTTAAAATGTAAACTATGCACCCCAAATGTTGTATCAAAACATTTTGTTGTGCGACCTCGTATAAAAAAATCGACAAAGAAAAGTTTCATAAATTAATCCGTAAAAAACATTTTTTTATGTTTATGATATTTTTTAACTATGAATATTTAGGATACCATGGTAAATACACTTTTTGTAGAATATCGTAACGCAAAATGATTAATAAAAGATTGCGTTATTATCCTTACCCGTTTTATAAAGTTATAGCTTAATTTCTAAGAGACTGTACATTTATCTAAAAGGGGGGGGTATAGGAAAGCACAAAGGGGTAGGAGTGGGGACTTTTGGGAAAATACTTATCTCAACATGGTCTAACAGCATAGAAAAATTCAGCTTTCCCATAGTTACTTACAACATCAAACCTATATTGACTGTGGGCTACGTACCGTCCATGCGCGCCTCGGTACTACTACGAATTTTCCACGTTTACTCTTACGTAATGAAACGTAGCTCTGTTGTTTTTGCCCATATTTCCTTAAACTTGGTGTTCTTGTACTATTTGTTAGTTTTTCTAACCATAAATCTTCTGTAGCATGTCTTAAACGCGTACAATATTTCCGATATTTGATTTTAAAGTAGTTTAAAATTTTATTTTTTGCAATAAAAGTTGATTTAGGCCTAAAGCATAAGAGATAGAAGAAAGGTTGTAATAACCTTTTTGAAGGGCATATATTTAGGCGTTGATAGACGCTTAATTCACCTTTCTATCATTAACCGTTTGTGAGTTAGACGCGGTAACGTAAACCGATGACCCGCGCAACTTCCCCCCCTCCCCCCCGAGTTGTGACCACCCTAGAAATGCGACATCATCGATTTTTTTCATCTACTAGATGTCCCCAACAATAATCAAAAGTCAAATTTTGTCAGACTTTCAGTGCATACTCAACCCGTTTAGCGCCTGGACTATAAGTGGTGATAAATGGTAGACTATGTAAAATATCCATGGTATTTTAATTTAGGTGAACTGTACTTTTTGTGAGCTATTTTAACTACATTACGTTTAGGGAGGTAAATGGAGTTTTCTGCCTCAGACAACCATTAAACATTATGTTTACACCTAAAAAAGCTCAGCTAAAACTACATCTGATTTTAAGGGGAAAAATCAGTTAACTTTAGTATATCTTTTTTCGTCATTGCAACAATCATATTTACTCATAGAGATAAAATAAAGTCAATACTCACCTATGGTGTGAATTAACGACATTCAGCCAAGCTATTAAAAATTACTGGTTAATTAAATAGTCAATAGTCAATCTTTTATTTTCACATTACGTTACATTACAAAATTCAGCAAAGCTGACGTTTCAGGTGAAATTGTCATAAAGTGCACTAGGTAGGTACTACAACTAAAAACAAAACCTAAGACTAATAGACCACATAAAATTACTAAAATTAAGTCAACACATCATTTATAAAAGAGTTAACATTGTAAGCCTGTGAATGGGCAATTGTAAATCATCTCTATTCCTAGTCAAGTAATTATGATTGTAATTTTCATTGTTAAAGTAATTTATATTTTTTCAAATAAAAAGTAATGTTATTGTAAAATATACACAGATGTTAAATTTAATAATTTTGGTTCTTTATAAAATAGTGTTTTGCATGATTGTCTAGGTCTTGAAAATGTCAATTCTCAGAACTCTTTTTTTTTTTGAATTTTAAAAATGTATTTAATTGGATTTATTAGTGTTGGATTTTGGACTATTGCCCCAAAATTCAACGCCATATTGCATATTTGAGATGAATAGAGCGTAACATATTTCCACTCTAATAATAAGGTCAATATACTTCTTGTAATATACTTCGACTTAAAATTGATTTATTATAGTCCTCGCCACCCTAACTTGAGGCAGCCCAAGGCCGCACGCCATATATCTAGTGCGGCCTTGGGCTGCCTCAAGTTAGGGTGGCGAGGACTATAGTGTATTACGTTAGTAGTGGTGTGTTGCTGTGCGAGCACGATAGTTCAGAATTGTCTTTTGAGTGCTGTAAAGCTTGCCGGGCGAGTTACTTGCGATACTTTACATTTCACCATTCAGATAAACTAACATGTTTTATTTAGTATAGTAATTTTGTATTCCATAAAATAAAGGTAGGCCTACCTTCAGATGGATTTAACGAATAAAAAAATGGAATACCTTTATAATTTAAATTAATTGCAATAGTACAGTTTCAGTTTGTATTGTTTTAGGTGTTAAATCCTTTCCTCAGATGTGAGAGATACCTGTCACTCACAGACATATTTGCCACTGATTCAGAATTTGATGGTTTTATATAAATACACACGTCCATTGGATCAATTATTTCTTCATGCTCTTGTTCTTGTAATATTCCAGTACTAAGTAATACATTTTGTTCTTAGGGTTTCCAAAGTAACCTCCTACATATTTAAATCGCTATTCAATACTATTTTTGGGTGATCCTTATTTTAACATTGTATTGTTGATATCAGGTATTTATTCAAACAGTTGTTCAAGTGCACTGTAAAGTGCTAGTAGTAAAGTACTACAAGTACAGTGCTGTGTGCAGTAAGTAACTATGTACTGTACTGAATGGCAAAGAGTAACTTCTGGCCTACAAAATAGGCATAGAAAACAGCTATTTCTGGGTAGTATGATGGAAACAATTTTATGTCAATTATTGTAATCGTGAAACTTAAAAACCACAATTAATTGATACATTAAGTGTTGTAAATACAAACATCCTACTATAATTAGGTATTTAATGTTTAGTATTACTGTATTATATCTAATGTTTTCTTACTTGGTCTGTTTTAGGTATCAAATCAAAATGAGTATGATGAAGTGGTCGCAAGTTTCCCTTTTCACGATCCAACCCTTGATAAACTTCCTTTCCCCAAAAAACTACCTTTTTCTCCTCTTGTACCAAAAGTCTATCAGCAAGTGAAAGAGTTTATTTATGCTTGCCTCAAGTTTTGTGAAGACCTCAACCTCAGGTACAGAATTTTGGTTGTTTTGTTATTTAGAATGTGAAACCGTTATTTCATAATTGTAGTTTTTTATGAATAAAGTGACATAGTGATATAGTGTACTTATGAATAAAGATTCTTGACTATAAAAATATTGCTTGGTTGTCATACAGTTTTTTTTGTTTGTTTGATATACACATTTTATGATTATAAACAAACATTTCCTTGGAGTTATTGAAAAAAAAATTATTTATTTTTTAGACATTTATATTGGTTTGTCATTTGAACAAGTTGTTGTTTCTGTCTATAATCAATTAAAGACTTTTATTTGTGTTTATTTATGTGATATTTGAAATTTTTAAATTAGTTATTGAAGCTTATGTCAAATTGCAGTCAAGGTGAGATTGACGATATGATCCGCAAGTCTACAAACCTTCTGCTCACAACGTCGTTCAGCGGATGTTTGTCGTCCATATTCAGGAAGCCTTCACTGGCTCTGATGCAGATCATACAAATACTGATAGACACTGGCTACTTGGAGGACGCCACCAGTTACTTGGAGGAGTTTGTGTCCAACATCACAGGGTAAGATGGACTACTGCAGTGTTATGATTATTCATAATCATGTCAAAACATGTATTATTTGATCCAATTAGCCACAACTAACTGCTTATTACAGCGTATTATGATCTGATTATATTACGCTATGCCTCATGTGAAACTAATTGTTTAACCCTTGTGCCATACTGAGAGAAATGACATACCTAAAGGCTGTAGTGATGTGATAATTTAGTTGTCACCTAATTATCAGCTGACAGATGTTGAAAGAGTTTTGTTATTTTTGGTTACTAGGAAGAGAGACACAACAACAAGGATCAGTGTATTTTAGGCTTCTCAATAAAAACTGATTTAATTTATTTGTAATAACCAATTGCTTGTTACTTTAAAAAAGTATGTTCAATTAAATCAATCATTTTGGTGGGAAATCTTTAGACTTTTCATTTCAGATATTTCTACTGGTATAAATAAAGTCTTATTTTAATACGAGGTTCTTTCAAGTTTATAGAACAACATCTTTACAACTTTACATTTTCATCTTTGGATAGGTACCCCTTATGAATATAATCCATCTAACTTAAGTTTTTAATGATTAAAGAGTTACAGTAAAATTTATATTGACTGTTACTCCATGGATTTGATTGATACAGCCGTAGATCATTTTGCTTCGTTGTTGAAGTTTCGCGTGCGAAAGAAGAAGATAATATACTGGGTTCATCCCATATATATAGTGAGCGACTTGTGAAAGGACAGTTCCATGTTTTGTATAATGACTTAAGGGAACATCTAGAGAAGTTTTTCAAATATTCAAGAATGAGTGTCGGGAGTTTTGATGAACTGTTAACACCTATGAGACCAGCAATTTCATATCAAGATACAAACAGAAGATTAGCTGTTTCAGCAGAATTCCTGGCGGGAGACTGAGCGACACAGCGACAATTTAGTCGCATGTGTGCGCGTCTACACTTGTTTCAAAGGATACCAAACCTGGAGTGATAGTCTCGCGACAATTGAGTTGCAGAGCTGTCTCTGGCAAATTGGGTCCGGGAACATCGGTTGCAACAGTTGCACGACTGTCCCTAGACTGTTTCCTTGGTGTGCGCACTCCAATTTAAAACAATGGTGAACATTTTAGTCAGGCAACTGTTGCTAGACTCAAAATCGCCTGTGTGTGCCTGGCCTTAGAAATGACTAAAGTTTAGAAAATTAAAACTATCGGAAAGAAATAACGCAGTGAATGCGTGATACACATAGTAACATTTTATTTGCAGTATATACATATTGTTTGTTTAGATTTGATCAATCAATCATTGAACAGAGATTGATACTTGATGAAGGTTCCATGGTAATAAATTTGTCATATCTAAGGAGCTATTCTAAATTTAGCATGGTCTGTGAATAAACGAATGGTGATATTTTCTTTATATCAAGATACTGTTCTCAAATGTATATTTTTTAGTTTTCTAATCAGAGACAAAAACTAAGTACACAATATTAACAGTGTTTTGATTTGAAGGTCACCGAGGGAAGGTCAGTTGGGGGCGCGGGGGCAAGGTCACCTCTTCAGAGTAGCGCGAGATGATGCTGAGCGTCAGATCTGTGACAAGCTTAAAGCCAAACTGGACGAGTTCCTGGAGCTGGAGGACTACGATTGGATGTTGATTGAGCCGCAAGGACACGCCTCTAGCTACGTCACCGACCTCATAGCATTCCTGCATAGCACCTTCCAGTCCTTCACAAACTTGCCTGTGAGTAGGCCTCTGTGCTATATCACCAACCCCATAAACCTCTGGTAATAGTATATTGATTGTTTCCTCTGCATTCACATTCTTTTTCTGTAATTTCTACAAATGCCATTAAGATAGTGAACTATTACTAATAACTATTAAAATAAATTTTGTTGTAGCCAAAGGTTGCTCAACAAGCTTGCAAATCAGCTTGTCAACACCTTGCCAAGTCAATGCTGGATTTCATGCTTAATGAAGATGTGAAGCAAATTTCAACAGGAGCATTGCAACAGATCAACTTGGACACAATACAGTGTGAACGTAAGTAGAAATCAAGAAGAGAATGACTTAATGAAGTACTTTAGTGAGTGCTTTACATTAAGTTCATTCACTCTAATGTACTCGTATTATTTTAATGATCAAGTATAGATGGACATGATTGTACTTTAGTTGGGGACGGGTTAGGATTTGTTTCCTGTGCAAAAAGAAGTAGTTCTAAAAGTCTTGAGTAAACATTCTTGCAGATACATCAATAATGACAAACAAAATAGGTCTAAATGTGCACTATTTGTGGCACAGTTCTATGAAAACCAATAATGGGTAAAAATACACAGGTAACTGAAATTTATATTTAGTGCAATTAACTGTGTCATTAAACATCAGTCCAATTTTTTAAAGATATCCTTAGCTAACCATAAACAGGTATTAAACTGACGATCATTGCATTTTTGAAGACCGTGGGTCAACATGTCCCACATTTGCAGCGTTATACCGGCGACATCCTGCGATTGTGGAGACTTCATCATCGTCACTCGCAACATGGCAGAATCGCTGACAATTGAAACAAATCCCGTTCTGAGAAAATCCCAAATCGAATGTAATCCCTTCTCGATGATAGGGAATATATTTTTCCTGAAATTTTTTGCCCATCTATAACCTACCCCTAATCCAAATGCTTACTGGTTTCAAATACTGTGGAAAGGGTTTATAATACACCAGAGTCTTGCTAATCCAATCTATTTGGAACCAAACCCTGTTTGAATTACCAAACCGTTTTTGATTAGCAGGAAATGCAGCAGAATTGCATCAACAAATGTACAACATTGTACATTAGCATATATTCTCCTGCCAAAAAACACCGCGATGGTCTCCCGCTATCACGACAACATTGTCATAATTTCTAGTCATTGCGACAACACCCATGATCATCTCCCACAATCATGTTCTTATTACAAGATGACCTTAAAAGGGAATAAAGAAACACAATTCATGAATGTATTTCTGGCTATGAGCTATTGGTTATCATTTAATATTTCTTGGTTCCGTACAAAATTCATGTGCAATTCACAAACTTTTTCCCCATCATCTTCATCAAAATTTATGTACTATACCCTGTTTTCTTGGTTTTTCCGGTCAGCTAGAACTGTATTTCAGAACACAAAGCTTTGTTTTTAATTAAAGTACCTATAGTAAAATTTTCTTCCCAACAGGTGGTTCGGATTAGGCAAATGTTCAGACTGGTGGGGTTCGTATTAGTGGAAATCGGCAAAATATCTTTACACTTGACAAATTCTACTGCTATTAGTAAGATTTATAAAACAGCTGGGTTGGTAAATTTTCTTCATAAGAAATACATTGGGATTTTGATGGCCTGTGAGGCAAAGCCCGAGAACACAGGATTGACATTTATCACAGGAATTGATAAAAGGAGGTGTCTACACAAAAAATACTTAAAAAATCCGTCCATTTTTTACGGAGGAGTAGTGTTTTGTAGAAATCGCCTTCCTCGTATTATATACAGGGTGTTCAAAAAAGGTAGGAACATAATTTACGTGCTGATTCCTTGGGTCAAAATAAAGAGAAAATCAAAAACAACATTTTTTTCCAAAATCACTTCGTTAACTAGATATCTGCAATTTTGTATTTTTTACATAAACATTCTTATCTTGGAATTTTGTCAACCGATCTTTATGCAACTTGGTATGTATGTTAAGGTAAAAGAGACCCATGTTAGAAAAAAATTCATCTTGATTCAACTAAAAATTTCAAAATGGCGTCCATTTGAATTTTTCTAAACTTTAATTACTCAAAAATGGTTGATTATATGAAAGAATTTCAAGAACACTTTTATTTATCATTTTTAATTCCCAATCAAACGATACCAAGTTCAAAAAGATCGAATAGCTTAAATTATTACCTTACTTACTTCTTACTTCTTGGTACGTGCATCCAGCTTCAGGTAATGCCGACCGCACGGTGTCTCTCATATACAAGGTTGGCCAGTCTCCAGTAGGTGGGATCAGTTAAGATTCGTCCAAGAGTGCAGTCAGGTTGGAGTCTCTTCCTCAGCTCATCTCTGATATCCAACTTGCGAGTGCAATGAAGGAGGATGTGTTGCAACGTTTCTTCTTCCGTTTGACATACCAGACACAGGGGTGACTCAGCGAGTTGGAAGCGAAAGAGATATGATTGGGTTACAATATGCCCTGTTCTAGCTCTTGAGGCAAATGTTGACACAGATCTTGGCAAGTTTTTGTAAATGTCTGTATTGTTGGGTTCCTTGAGCAGGTCATACAGATGGCGACCAGTTATTAGAAAGTACTTAAATTATTACCATTCTTCGTTGTAAAAAGGGGCGAACCTGACTAGCTTCTGCCTTATTCTACCCCTATAAAAACATCTTAGTATTTCAGCTATTTCTTATTCGATCTTTTTGAACCTTGTATAATTTGATAGGGTAATTTGTATAATTTTATCCTTATACACCCTGTTTAAGAATTTTAAAGAAGATTTATAATGCAGTTTTTTGTTGAGTTTTCATGACTATGTTTGTAACACAGAGTTTGCTGCGTCAGAGCCAGTGCCTGGGCTGGACGAGGGTGCTCTACTGCAGTATTTTGCAGCTCTGAGACAGTTGCTGGACCTGCTCATGTCATGGGACTGGCCCACGTACTTTCATGACTATGGCCAGGAGAACAGCAAGTATCAACTGGTCAACCCCAATAATGCAGTTGTTATCTTGGAAAAGTAAGTAATCACCAGGCTCAAACTCAGGCTTCTCTTGTATTCCTCCTTTTTTTAAATTTTACTAAGAATGGGTCAGTTTTAAAGTTGGTTGTCAACTTTGCAGTTTTTAACACAAAAACCTAAACTGAGAATTGATGGAGGATGTTGGTTTCGGTTTATAGTTTTGCCACCGCGATTGCGTGGGGAACGAACACGATGATCGCGGAAGATGATGTTGATGTCAATAAAACCGGGGGAGAATTTGCTGCAATTGGGGAAGACAATGATGATGTTTACAATACAGCGGGAGATATTCAGGATTTTGCCTCGCGTAGTAGGGTAAAGATGATGTCCACATGACCTCGGTGATATTTAGGATTTGCTGTGATCATGAAAGATGGTGATAATGCCCACATGATTGGGAGAGATGATGTTTGAGTGAAAATTTAAAAACGTACGTTTTTAGGAAAAGCACTTTGCAATTTTTTTTTCCTTTTTTTTTAAACTTTAATGTTTTTTTTTATTTCATCAACATTTAAAGTTTCATAAAATGTCCATGGTAACGCAATATCTTTGGCAGTTTTTTTTTTAAAGAGCATCTTTAGTGGAAAAACACAAAATTCTGTCAGGACCATAACGGACCTTTAAATGAATATTAAAAATAGTTAATATTATTTTTATAACTATGTTTTGCTATAAATTAATTTACTTTTAGGTTCATTTTACAATAAACAGGTCACTAAGCTTTTGGCATATTTGGTCTTTATACAAAAAATATAAGAAATCCAAAAAAATGAAAAAAGCTAGAAAAAACTTCTTTAAGTTTGTATAACTCTGTCAAAACTTTCCCGACACGTGAAAAATCTTTATATTTATATAAAGGCGTGCTTCCTGTGTGTATAAAACCATAAAATATAATGATATATAAATTTTTGAATTTTTTATGATACAAATCATGAACGTTATGGTCAGGGACAGGTGTTACGGTCTGGAATTGGCGATTAACAAGAATCACTGGTCGTGACTACGGTCGTGAATGGTTTGAATAAATATTTTGTTTACCTATATGATTAGAGGAAAAATAATTAAAAGCAGTTTTTATTCAAATTATATTTAATAAACTATACTTAGAAAAAATATAAACCTGTGGCAAAATGTAAAAGAAAACTAGAAACTTATTATAAAAAACTTAACTGAAAGTAAACAAATTAAACCTTAGGAAATCTTAATACGATTAATAACATAATAATTGTATAGCAATAATTGTATAGTAAAAACAAAAAAAAACTTAAATATATCAACTTGGTGAAAACAAAAACAGTAAACAAATTGGACGTTTGGTAAATTTTAAATGATAAATAAAAACTCATGAAATAGAAAAAGACCTAATGAAATGTCTGCTAAATAAGGTCATTACAGTTTGATGACGCAAAACTAATAAAAATACTGATCAAAATACAAAACTTAAAATCTCTGGTAAACAAATTTGCTTACTACTGTCAATTTAAATCAAAGGAAAAATTGCCAGTTCAAAAAGAACACTCAAAAACAAATAATATTCAAACAATATTAATTAGTTGGATTCTTGGCTGTGCCTTTTTGACCCACCATTACATTTTCAAACGTCATAAAGTAACAAACTTAGTCTACGTAGGTTGAACACAAGCCAGTTCAAAAAGTACGCTCAAAAACAAATGATATTCAAACAATATTAATTAGTTGGATTCTTGGCTGTGCCTTTTTGACCCACCATTACATTTTCAAACGTCATAAAGTTACAAACTTAGTCTACGTAAGTTGAACACAAATCATCGACTTGATCAGCCTCTTCAAATTTATAAAGCCTTGACGAGACTTTGATTGGATTCTTCAGACGGCACAGCACCCCTTCTTTGTCGAGTACTTGTTTATCTGGCTTCGACGGCCACATGTAGAATGTGCCCGTTTTTTGCATGAAATTTATTTCCAGGAGTTGGTTATCTATGTTTTGTACTTCCCCGGGAAACCAAGTGTCGCCATAGATGGCTGCTACCCAGTTGCCAATCTGAATGTTTGAGTGTCCATCAACTGCCTCTACTTTAGTTATGTTAAGGAAGATAACCATATCGTTGATTGTAGAGAGTCAATTGCAAAATATTCTATCATTACCACAACAATTACAACAACAATGACAAAAATCTGAAAAAATGTAAAAATTAAGCTTGTTTGTTCAGCTAAGCTAAATATTAGGTTATTAAAAAAATAGCTTTAAACGTTATATGGCAAAATAATGCATTGAAAAGGATACAGCCATAATTAATCACTTGATTTATTTCTGCTGGTTCCGATGTGGATCGATCCTTGACCAGTGCCTGTGTGATCTGTGTTGTATCTTCGGAGGATATTGTATCTGAAAAGATTGGTTAAGAAAAATACAAATACATATTGTTTTATTAATAATTAAAACTGACATAACCCATGTTAAATGAAATTTAATACATTAACAGTGTAAATAAATACTACAACTGTATGGTTAAAAATTGATCAACACCAACTATATTTAATAAGGTAGCCATGTAAATAATTAAAACAATGATTATCAATTATTACAAAAAGCAAAATAATGAAAATATTTACAAATAGGGATTGTCATAAAAGGATACCACCACTGCATTCTTGGTCAAAAATTCCAGATCCTAGTGCGTAGTGTGGACAGCCTAAGCTTGCAGTGCATGATTTGCACGATAACATTCTGATACCAAGTTGTTTAGGGTTTATTCTAGACCACGTTATTTGATGGATTTTCATTGTTTTCGGAATAGCCTTGAGGTCTGCTAGAATAGTTGCGCCAATTTCCGAGATTTTCACACTGTCTACAATCCATGTTTTGACTTTAAGGGAGGATACAGATTGTTGAAAAGTTTCAACATCGATAATGTCGTTTTGTTTTAATAAAACAGAATCTGCTGTTCTTTTTACGATCCCTCCTATGGCATCTGCAGGCCCTTTTCCGTGGCCAGCCTCGCTGAAGTTCCACGACAGTTTCCAGAAGTTGTACTTAGAAGCCATTTTCGATAATAGATAAAAATTGCCCTTGTTTCGATACTGTGTTGTGGGTCCATCGGAGAAGAAATGTAGTGTATCAACTGTAGGATATTTTTCTTTTACAAGTTCCAGGACTGGAGACAAGTGAGCCCAGATTGCCGAAGGTCCGTGGTATGGGTTATCGGAAATCGTACAGAACGACAGTTTTCCAAGTTTTCCTTCCCCTTCAGAAGTATACAGGACTCCGGTGTGTAAGGAAATATGCTGTCGGGAACCGCCGAAATGCATGCTCTGTATCTCTTCGCTATACCTACATGCATAATTTTCACTCCAGTCTATAATAACAAGAGCTTCATTTGCCATTAAGTTTGTCTTGCAGTCTTTAAAAAACTTTCTTTGATGAAAGCTGTTGTACACATGAATGCAAAATTGCGGGAGGTAGCTATTAAACTTGTCTAACAGTTCAAGTGCTGAGGTTCGTACTTTTTCTTTTACGACGATTATACTGGTTTTCCCGTTGGCTTTGTTTTTGTTTTCTTTTACTTCATTTTTACTATTCAATCCTTTCTTCTGACGATTTTCAATTTTCCGTCTCTCCCATACGAAGTGTGAAATTTCATGTTCAAAATTGGCCAAATTGATGTGTTCTTTGCCAATCTTTTTCATTTCGCATTTCTTGCATTCACCGTACATACATTTTCTTGAATTTACATTGCAATTAATGCTTGACAGAACCTTTTCTGTGGAGTTTAAGGTCAATATCTTATGTCTATACAATGGTTTTAGCATGAGTTCAAAGTTTGCGTGTTTCACACATTTGCAAGTGTCCCTGTCACTTTCCCGAGGGGCTACGATCCAAAATGGTTTCAGTTCTCTAAAGTACGAGTAACTAATTTTAATCTTTTTCTCCTTGACAAACTTAGCATGGAGTTCTTTTATACAGCCCAAGAGGAACCTTTTTTGTTTCTTAACTTTCTTTCTTGTAATAGTCTGTCTTTTACCAGGCGTTTGCACAGAATTCTCATCATCTTCGTAAAATCTCTGTACCGCACTCTTTAACATCTTCTTTCTAGCAATCCTTTTATTCCTTTTATTTATATATGACTTTTTTATAGCATATCTCCTCTGTAAAAATACACTGGCTATGTTTAGTTTTTCTAACTTGTTCATAAACTGTTTCTTCTTCATTACCTCCCCAGTTACACATTTTGTAAATTCACTCTTTTCCAATGTTGTGCTACAGTTAGCGCTGTTCTTTTGAAGCTGCTTTTTCAAAGCACATCCAAAAGTTAATTCACGGCGAACAACGTTTGGCCCTTCCCGTAAAATTTGCTTTGCCATCTTATTTGGGGATGGAGATGGACCATTCTTTGATTTTTCCCTGTAATATCGCTTCTTCCATTTTTCAGATTCTCTTATCTTCTCCACTTTTTCTTTTTCTAAGCTCTTAATAGCTGCTTTTTCTTTTCTTCGGTTTCTTCGTAGTATTTTTTTACCTCTCCCTTCATTTGAGTTTGGGACGACTATGGCATCGTTCGATGGCCCAGGTTGAGGAGACTGTGGCGGTGTTTCATTGTTATTGTAATACAACAAATCTTCCTCATTCAATATTCCTCTCTGTCTTCGCTTTCTTTTCCTCCACTGCTCTCGTTGAGCTTCCCTTTCTTTCTTCGTCATTTCAGCTATTTTTTTTATTTTGCCCTTCCCCTCCTGTCTTCGTCTCCTACTCCTATCTCTCTCTTCTAATCGCTTTTGCAAATGTAGTTCAGGATTATTTTTTATTCGCTCTCGATGCGCTCTTGCTCTTTCACGACATTTCCTACGTTCTTTTTGTTTCAAGTTTAATGCTGGTTGTTTTTTCTTTTTCTTTTGCGTTTTCGCTAATTCTGTTACACTTTCTTCATTATTTGTTTTGTTCTCTGTAATACGTTCAGAACATGAATTGTCATTCGTATCTGGAGATTTTATTTTCTGTTTTTCAAACAATTCTCTTTCTTCTCTTAGTTTTCGGAACTCTTCTTGAAGTTTTTTTCTTTCGGCTTCAATCTTTTTTTTTCATTTTCAATTTCTTTAAGTTTTCGTTCTAGTTCTAACTGCTTCTCTTTTTTTTCTTTTCTAATGCGCTCTTTCTCAATGTTCCGCTCTTTTTCTCTCTGAGCGGATCTTTCCAACCCCTCTTGTTTCATAATCAATAACCTTTTCTTAAATTCAGCCTCTTCCTCTTCATCCATCCTAAAATGAACAAAATAAAATAATCTTATGTACTAAAAACTTTTGCAAAACTTATAACAGCTAGCCTGATTCGACCGAATTAGACGCAGCTGGCACCAAAATGAAAGATATTTTCCTGTAGGTGTGCAAAATCCATTCTTAAATTTAAAAACCCCCGCCTCAGCAAACCTGCCGTCTGCGAATTTCTATTTGGTTGAAATGATTATCAATTAATGTATTTTTATAACAATAGGTATAACGAGTACCTAGGTTTGCTGCTACAAGGAAACTAATAAAGTGTGTTTTTGAGTAAAATATTGATAGCTTAGTACAAAATAAATAAATTTGCCAAGTTTGATCAAAATATATCCATAAATAAGCAAACTACAAGATTTGACAATATTCTCCATAAGAATAACACGTAAATTTTAAATTTACAATTTTTTTAGTTTTCTTCGTTACTAATAACCGAACAAGATACTTTTATATACTAAATTATTTGTTTTTTAAGCTCTTTAAAAAGGTCTAAAGAGAAATTGGGAAATTTTGTGTTTTGAGGGTTAAAAGTGAGAAAAACCAATTTTACCCCATAAAACCCCCCGTAAAGCCCCATTCCCATGGTCCGATCATGCTGGTTCGCGAACTCATTCAAGTTTATCCTGCTTTACACCTTTAAACAAAATTTCATCAAAATCGGACAAAAATTACTCAAGTTATCACGTTCATGGACGTATATATATATATATATATATATATACATTTGAACGAATGGTGTTTTTGGCCTCTGGAGATATCAAAATGAAAAAGTAAATCGGTCCCGGATCTAGGTCTTACCGTGCCACCTACGGTAATAGCTACTTCCCTATGGGGAAATTTGCTAAAATCGATCAATTTGCCAAGTTTAATCAAAATATATCCATAAACAAGCAAACTACAACATTTTATAATAAACATGGGTCTTATGGGCTGTCATGTTGGTGACGAAATAACAACTAAATATAAACAAAAAATCAAACCAAATAAATGAGATTCCAATCACATGTTTTATTTACAGCGTAGGTTGACAATAGAGAAGATTGCACAACACATACTTTTGATCGAGTTTTTTTAACAAGGGGCGAGCTCCCGTGATATCTAAATATTCCTAAACAATCCTTAAACTGTACTGTTAGTTATAAAAAAAATGTGTTGCAATAAAACTAGCCTAAGCTGTAAATTTACAATGATATTTAAATTATTGTCACGACCAAACACAGTACAATCGATAAGGCTGTTTAGGTCGTGAAAAAACCCGCTTTGGTCGTGAAATCTTGGTCGTGAGATTACGTACTATTTTGCTCTGTTCTGGTGGTAGCCCTGCCCCTCATGTTCGAGAAGGCAAAGTGGACTTCTAGGTTAATGTAGCAATTGAAATATCATATCAACAAAAATTAACACCACGTCTACTTCATCAAATGACTACGTACGGTCATGGACACACCAAAATTACAAAAAACACGAACTTACCTTTATTAATCTTGTAAACACTTCCTTCAACACCAAACCACCGGCACAACAAACTTTACGTTCACCCCGAACGAGTCTCTAAAACGAACTGACGCAATCGACGCCAGGCTTGCCACTGTCGTGCTCCAAAGTTGAAAATTTTTCCCAAATGGTCGTGATGCCAAATCGAGGGACAGACTTATTTTGTCATGGTAGTCAGTTCGCAATGATAATAAAATTACAATATGTTCGTTTTTTGTAAGTTTAATAACTATTGATGACATAAAAATATGGCTTTATATATTTCGGCATGAATAATTAGTCTAAAAACAGCGTGGAAGTTGGAAAATGTACCCTAGGGACACGTCATGGTCGTGAATTTTGAGACTTTAAAAATACGAAAAAAATACCTAGAACCTATTTAAAACCAAATAAATGTGTGTAACATGTTGCCCCCGTCCCAAAAAATATTAAAACACATAATAATAAACTACAAATCCAGTATCTCCGGAGTAAAAGGCCAGGGACATGAAAACGTACGTTTTTAAATTTTCACTCGTTTATGTTTTTCCAACTTTTTAAATATTTCTACCATTAGAAGAGATGATGATGTCTTCACGAAAACAAGGGATGTTCATGATTTGGGCCGTGATTGCAGGATACAATGTTGATACCTGTACGATCAAGACGGATGGTCAAGATTTTACCACGATCGCAAAAAAAATGATGATGCTTTGAGATAGTAAGAGAAGTTCTAGATGATTACTTGTAACTTGTAACCAGTTTTAGTTTTGTTGAAAAGATTATTGCATACATTTTCCATTAGTTATTAGTGAAATTACAGTTTTACGTGGAACAACTCCTATAACAACATAAATCTGCCATCACCAACAGCAAACCTGACACAAAGGAAATTATGATTAGTGTGGCTTAGGCTAAAATATAAGAGAGTTATAACTATATCTATTTAAAACAAAACAATAAATGCAACCGATAAAAAAACTCAAACTCAAACCAAACTGAGATAAATTGTAATTAACACATCATCTGACCCTCCATGTGGACAACCGAACGCTGTGAAATGGTCCATTATATTCGGTATGACCAAACAACATTGTAGCTATGTTGAGAAAACTCTTTTTATCGCCTCGAGACTTGAAAGATATACACCAGGCTTTGACACCTGCACTTGATTATACTTACTGATTATTTGAGCCCACAACATACCACATAGTTTGTCAATTACTCATTCCCGAATGGTGAATACCTGTGTATAAGCCCTCATGTCTTAGTACGAACAGAGACCTGTAGCTAAGTGGACGAGTATTGTTTTACCTTATATTTTACAGTTTTAACTCAATTCCAGGTATCTGAACTTTTCACTTTTTCCCCCTTGCTGACGCGAGTTTTGATTGGATTACTGCGACTCTACTGTGAATGATTCTTCATCCTACAAATCCAAATTAAGTTTTCCATTCAATCAAAACTGTCTGGGTAGCCAAGTGAAGTGGTTATAGTGCTCGCCTAGCAATTAAAAGGTTGCTGGTTCGATCTTGAGAAAAGTCAGTAGCTTTTTGAAGGTTTGAAACTATGCCTAGCTGTTCCTTATCAGTGGGCTTTAAATAAATATTTTTCTCTAATAGCTGATCTTATAGTCAATTCACAAAATTTAGGTGGTTTGAAGGGAAGTTCTCACACACCTTTTTTTTCTTTATGTATGCTGCAGCTGATTGACATTTTTGAAAACCTCAGCTGTTGAGCTATTGTTTTAAAGGTTGTATCAAGTGAAGGGGATAGATTTCTTCCCTTAAAACCATCTAAGTATAGTGAGTAACAAAGCTACACAGGTCATCACACTTCATTATACACTCATCTTTCACTCATATTTGGGTTAAAATACATACAGGTGGTGTCCCCATCTCAATTAGTAATAATCATGAAGGGGGATTGTATGAGCTGGAATTGTTTCCTGTCCTCTTTTTTATGTGCTCAGTGCAAATATTCATCAAATGTATTGCAAAATAAATGTTTGGTTTTAGCATTTGACTAATGATTATCAACATTTACAGGGTAAGAGAGGCGGATAAAAAGACAATGTTCTCAGTTCTAAAGAAGAGTGAAAGAGATAAGAAGAAGCTTTTGGACACAGTTCTGAAGCAACTGCGGCAGCTAGCAATAACAGCTCAACAGCAGTGAGGTTATCTCATCTCACCACAGGTATTACAATGATGAGTAATTGATATATATATTACAGCTTTGTACGAGATAGTGATATTATTATTTAATCAATGATACATTAATATGTTGGTATGAACTGTCCAAAAAATAGTACGGTATTTAATATAAAAGTAGCTTTGAGGTAATTTATGTAAATATTGTAGATAAATTTTAAAATGTTAAAATATTTATGGTTTTACCATACTAAAAAGTGTTCTATAAAAATATGTACAGTATAATTGTTTTAAAATAGCATTATTGTTTAAAATATGAATTAAATTAAAAGCATAAATATGTTTGACAATCATTTCTTCCTTCCTCCAATATCTTTCTGTTTTGTACAATTTATTAATTTGGATTAAGAGATTATAAGAATAACTGTTGAGTCCCAAGAAATGGAAACAGGATGAGTCTGGTGGAAGTAAAACTTTGTATTAGTGAGCTCAATGTGTTTGATCATACCAGAGTGTCTTGGAGGAATTTGTTCAGATAGGGAATGATAGAGAATCAGTCTAGTGAATGATAAGCAGTCTCGATACAAAAATAATCAGAGATGTACAACAAAATTGCCCGTGTAGAATGGCCCTCATTGTCTTAGATTTTTGCTGAAACGGCTACGATTTCCGATATGTATAACGATTTAAGATAATAGTATACACATTTTGATTTAAAAACATATCCTCTTGATACTATATTGTCAATACAGAAACATTAACAACGTGATGGATTAAATATTATTTTTTTTAGTTAAATAAGGTACAAGGAAATAAAAAACTTTAAATCATTACTTTATATAATGAATATATACACGTCAATAAATATTAAATAAATATAGACAAGGGTTGTGAAAAATAAACTATTTGTACATTTGGTCTTGTGAAAGTCTGAGTTACCACTCATTGTCATGTGAGTTCTAAGTATGTAGACTTATAATCAGTGCATTATCTTACAAAAACTGTCAAATCATATTCTTGTTATAAACAATTCTGACTACCAAATATTAACATAAAAAAATAAAATTATTAAAAAAAGTTTTATTTCAATTTTTCTTTTTTATATTTTTGGTGCAAGTTGTTGTTTTCACTTTAATGAATAAATTTTCATAAAATATTAACAAGTATTTTATGCCTGCAATTAACAAACCTGAGAAATACAATAGGCTAAGCTATGGTTTTCTATTTATATTTTTTAGTTAAAGAAACAGCTTAAATTTATAAGTAAAATGTAAAAAACACAAATAGCAATAACAAAACTCCTCACCATTATATACATATTTGACAACTTTTATCTGGTTTCAACAAGTTATCATTTTATGTCACTTTAATTCTTAAATTTTACATTCAGTAACATAAGGTGACAAAATAAATTACCTACTCTACAATCAAGTTCACACATTTCACTATTCACATTGACAGTAATAAAAAAATACACATTCCATTTTCTAAAATCATTTCATGTAGCAGTTCATATTTATATAAACGTATAGGGCCTGATACGGATTTATATGAAATAGCACAGAATAAATATCACACGCTACAAACAAGTGTAGCTGAAAAATATTGTCTTTGGGTCCAATGCTATAGGTTGTTTATAATTTACATTATTTCATATTTTGTGTGTACACTTATCTCAGTAAATTTCATACAAGTCAATATAATCATTACTGATGTAACAATGTTCTTTGATTTATTAAACTTAATTTAGGATTGTTGTCACACTTAGTAATCCTACGAAATTCGTCAATCTTGTGAACTAGACATCAGTTATTTAATCAAGCATGATTTTATGTAAGGTATGGAATGCTCATGTTTATTTCATCAAATCTGATAAAATATAACTTAAAATTTGATTATAAACTTTTGACTGAATCAATAGTTTATGATAATTACATTTTTCATCTGTGTATCGACTACTTTTATTTTTGTTGTAATGATATTTGTATACTAAAAAATTAGCTTACATACAGTAATCTTTTATTATATAACATCCATCAATAATCATGAACATTTGAGACTAGTAAAACACCTCTTTCAATTTAAATTTAGATTGTTATATCCACAACAAAAACTCTCATAAAGGTACTGTAAGTAAAATGTTTACCATTCAAATAAACTTCAAAATTTAAAGTTCTATAGAGAAATAATAATTTCAAACTGTCACATTAATATTTTTAGTAGCAGTCCTCTTACAACGCAAAAAAACAAGTAATAAATTTTAAAAATAAAAGCGTTTTCTATAATAAAAGTTTAATTTATTTTATAACTTCCCCGCCATAAAAAGCTTTTATGAAAAACACTATTTTAGCCCGTTTTTATTTTAAACTAATTTGGATATAGGGTTTTTTATCTGAACCATCCTTAGAGTGGTTGTAACAATATTACTTTTCTTTCCTCGCATCATTTTATAATTTGTTGAGATCCTTTCAAAAGCTCAATAAAACTCATTCTCCTTGCTCTTTATGTGGTTTTTAGAGGTATAGTTGGCATTTAAAGCTTTTCAAGTCACGAAAGATGTCTTGGACATCAAAAGTGTTTTGCTTTTCACAAGTTGTTCACACTGATAATTTGATTGATCCATCCGATGAACGACGACACTTTAACGTAAACTCCTGGCACGTCAACTCTGCCACAGCCGAAACCCCACGACACCAGTCCAGCGAGCTCGTAGAAACCATCGTCTTGACACACTAGGGGCCCGCCGCCATCACCCTATCACAGCATTAGTTAATAAATAACTAAGTTTAATAATTATGGGCTATTAATTAACAGCTGTGTCTAAGGAACATGTCGGCCTTAGTCACTAACAAGACTACAAGATCGCGCCACTCATCCTACACTCATCCTTCACTCATATTTGGGTTAAAATACGCACATAGTGGCGTCCCCATCTTAACTAATTGATATTGATATTGATATTGATGACAAATTTTGGCCAGCTAAATTACTACTCACATTGATTTTGGATCTAAATTTCCATTTTTTCATTATATTCAATTTTTAAAACCTATCTTACATGTGCTACTCAAGGCAATTCTTATTCAAATTATACATTCTAAGAAATCGTTGCCCATAAAACAGACATTGTTCACTATTTAAATACACCCGTCAACATCGCCACAAATACATTCCCTAACCCCCAATTGTTTCGGATAATTATTGACTTTTTACCGTAGTTACCCATCTTGATTTAAACTTTTACTTCTTGTATTGTTGAAGAAAACAACATCTTCTGTTAGTGAAAGTCACAATTTTGTTTCCATGCTGTAAATAAATACCTTACGCAAAATCCACAAAAGTCACTGTGAGAAATACAGTGTAAAAGTAAAATTACATTTCTAACAATGGTTACATATTGATATTAATCACCTGACATGCATCATTCCCCTCCTCTCCGCCTGCACAGAAGCTGCTTGCAGGCAGAATGAATATTTTCTCTGTCACAGCGTTGATTTTCCTAATACACTCAGCGTCACTTACAATCGGTATTTCGGCTTCACGTACTCTCAGCGGTATAGGACCGGCTGCAACCAACAAAACAGAGTTATTGTTTCATCAAATTCTTTTCTGATTCAAACACAGTATAAAATAGAAAAATCATTGATCAACCAGTGACACTGATGGTACTTACAGAAATGTTTTTTCTGGGACTTTTAATAGCCAAAAGGATTTCAAGAAGAAATGACATGTGATTCTTTACCTATTCTAGGATACCAGAAGAGATCTTTGCTACTTTATTTATATTAAGGTTAAATTTTGAAAGCAAAAAACAACTCCATTCATACAAAAAAGTCACAGTTAAAAATGTATTTTAAAATTTCAATAGTAAAGGTGACCATGCTACACTAACATAATTTGGACATTCACTTTAATTGGGGTTATATGATACTGTAGCTTGGTTAGCTTGTAAATCATATTAGATTGATGCCAAAATAAAGAGTGGCAGGGCTTAGGGGTAGCACAGTATAAGTATAAATAAATATGCAAAATATTTTGTTAAAAGTTAAAACTTAGTTAAAACCTTTGAAAATTAACTATGTGTATGAGCATCCTTCCAAATGATGTTCATATTTAAAAGTACAAGAAATGAGAATTTTACAGTCACTGAGAATATCACTAAAAAATTATGTATTTTGAGTATAGCCACAGATAAGTAATAAATTTCAGTTTGTGACGCGGTTTTAATCTGAAGACCTTTAAAATTAAACACCAATTTATTAATCATAACCATCAATTTATCAAATCAACTATAAATCTCTCATTTGTTAACCAACAAAGTAGACTAACTACATAATTATTTTTTACCTTCGCCCATGTAGCCGTAGCCTGTGACAGTGCAGCGTTTGCCCGCAGTGTGAGATACGCCCCTGGCAGGCAGACACACAAGGCACACTCCGTCCCTCAACTCCGCCTGTCCATGCAGCTTGAGCAGCGCGATGTCGTTGTCCAGCGTCTGGCTGTTGTGGTTGTGGTGGATGTATGTAGTGGCGACCCTGAGTGTCTGAGCACCAGGACTGCCGTACTTGCGAGTCAGGTCGTGATCACCCACCCTCACATATATGGCATCACCCGACCTCACTATGCTAACAATACAGGTCCAAGTCAGTGAAAATGGTTTTATTAAATCAAAACTTCAAATTCAAATTCTTGACTAAAGCCATGCATCCCTTTGTTTAAGTGAAGTTAATGAGGAAAATAGGGTTGATAATTAGTATGGGAAAAAGTGAGGTATTGGCGATTATAAGAAATAAAGTGTTGGAGCAACCTTTGTTTAGGACAGGAACTTCTTCAGTTGGTTGAACATTTTACATACTTACTTGATATTGGTGTTTTAAAATGATGAGGGTGGAGATCACGCCCACACTTGGTATGTGAGCGAGTCTTTACCACTGTACCACTCAAGCACCTACACTATGAAATACACAGGAAACCATTGAGCAAAAAAACAAAACAAAAACGTGTTAGACATATTACAGGACAAAAGTTATTTATCGGGTGGAAGTTTAGAAATAGAACTGTCTGGGTAGCCGGGTGGTTACAGTTCTTGCCTTCAAATCTGAAGGTCGCTGGTTCAATTCCTAGGGAGATTGTTTCTAGACACAGATGCCATTTGTCATTGGGCTATGAATTAATGATGCTACATATCTAAGAAAAAGGAAAACGTTAGATAGTAACGAGACCAGCGTTTGGACAGTTAAAAATATCAATAGGGTAGAAAACACACAAAAATGAACACATAAGAAAGGATGAATCAGACTACAAGCTGGGAAATTGCAATTTTTAGGACCATTAGGATTGAAACAAGGTAGGAAAGGATTAGGGAAGAGATCAGAAAAGAGTTAAAGGCAGAGAACTAGTAGAAAAGAAGGATTAAGATGGTTCGTATATGTAAGAAGAATATGAGAAGAGACAATTCTTTAGGGTTTATGGTGAAGAGAATCTAAGAGAAGGTTGTTATATGAGATGAAGAAGGATTAAAAGCAGAAAGGAAGATGGCAGATGGTGGAGTAAAAGGAACTGTGGGGAAACAGTTTGAAGATGCTGAGGAGAGGCCTGATGAGTGATGACATATGGAATAGAATAAATAAATTGTGTAATAAAGAAATGAGTTGTTACTCAAACCATATATTAATCTTAATCCCTTTATAGACCTGTCATCCTTATTGATCTAATGAAAACATTTTAAGGTTAGTTGTGTCCGGTTTGATTTTTTAACCTGATAAAACAATCACATTAAAACAATAACTGGTCCTCTGGTATTATAACCTAACACTTAAGCAAAACATCATAATTCTACCCTTATACAAAAGAGAATCATTTGGTCGACATCAGCACACTCTCACTGGTCAACAAACTTGAAATTGTACAATAGGACAAGAAGTCTACTTGCACTATTCAAAATCAATGCTTAAACTTACTTTGTGACACAATGAGCCGCTGTGAGGACCCACTGAGTGCCGATGAGTGCTCCGCCACACAGATACTGATTGAGTGAGTTGATAAGAGCCGCTTGCCAACACCACTCGGCAGGGTCTGCATCTTCCCCTCCAACCACGCGACCTCCTCGTGCCGTCCCCTTCACTCCACACACGTACTTGCTGTAGACTGGCGGCCGCACTGTACTGGTTGTTATCGTAACTAAACACGGAAAAATGAATAATGGAATGTAGAGTGGTCATACAAAGATTGGATATTTGTCAAGGCCAGAGTTAGGCACACAAAAAAAGCTATGAAAAATCATATACTTACTTTCTCTAGAGGTCATGAGGTTCAAATAAATCTTCCTATTTCTTATCTTATGGTAAGCTAAGCAAACTACCACTTTGCTGAAGGACATTTTAGGAGAAATGTTTCATTACATAATTTCCAGCCTTAGGGAAAAATCCTCTGTGCCGTACAACCACATTATTACATGATAGTACCTTGTGAGTGTTGGGGGGCGTAGTGAGGCTGGTATTGAGCTGCAATGCTGTCGTTTCTAGAGGCAGTTGGCCCGCCCGCGCCACCTCCATTCTTCTGCTCCACCAACTCTCGTATAACAGACTTGGGGGCACAACACTGAGTGCCTGACTTGCGACATTTGAATAACTCTGTCATCTCAGCATTTCCTGAAATAATAAGATTCTTAAAAACTCTCAAATCCACTACCTTCTTTGTAATGCCAGATATAGATTTTTTATTATTGGATTACATTAAGAGATTTGTAATTCAGTTAGGTTTGAGCACTTACTGAAGCAAGTGAATGATAAGTAGGACACAATGCATGAGCCAGGACAGTCAGGCCTAGCGTCAGGTGGTGCGGGAGTGGTTGTCGTCGTGGTGGTGGTTGGTTTTGGCTTGGACGTCGTAGGTTGTCTGGTGTTGTCACAGCAGACTGAGCCTCGCTTGCAGTTCCAAGTGTGAGGTATCAAGACTGATGGCCTTTCACAGAACGCTGCCATGATGTTCAGCAAGCAGAAGCCAGGACACTTGGGCAGGGCAGGCGTGGAGGCTGTGGGGCGGGGGGTGGTAGTTGTGGGGGTAGTAGTGGCAGGACGAGGGCGAGGGGGTGGCTCAGTACTGGCAGGTAGAGTTATACAACAGCTGTCATCCCCGGGACAGTGAGCCTGTGCAAACAAACACATGTTTAACAATCCTCAAGACAGATTAGTTTAACACTCTCCCGTTTTCAAACGTTTCAAATATGTTACTTGCACATTTTTATCCTTAGCTAAATAACTATCCTTAGTAGCTAGTAGTTATCCTTAGTTAGAACTCTTTGTCCTCCTCTTCTTTGTCTAATAAAATAGAAAGTGTATAGAACCTCAATTACTCAAACCTTAATATCTTGATTTTTTTTATCCCCTTGAAATTCATATTAATCATAATTAAAAGTACCTTTATAAGTCAAAGTTTCTAAATATTTAACCTCAATAAGTCAAATTTTAACAATTTTTGATCAGTAATGTACAACCTCTGTAACTCCGTCTGATTTTTCGTTTTTCCCGACATCAAGCCTCAGTAACTCGAAGTTTACATTTATAAGTCAAAGTTCGCACAAACATGCCTCAATAATTTGAAGTTTTGCTTTACAGTGCAAGTCAGTTGTGTTTTGATTCCTGTTGAGACTTGAAAATCCAACTTTCCTGCAGTTATAGTAGGTTTTTAGTGTACTCCATTAAACTTATTCATTAACTTGTTCCATATACTAGGTCTACAAAATGTTATAAAACGTTAACAGGAATTACGTTTAACCTCAATAACACCAAACATTATGATAAATACAGTACTGTGTATCCATAAACAATGGTTGTTTAGTATTTTTCACAGCAGCTTTTCATTATTTGTATTGTACTACTGTATTTGGATGTATGAAGCTTATACAGTTTGTATGTTGTTTACTTTGTTTTTAAAAGTTCCAGTGAACTTACGTTTACAATAAATTATAATTATTGCTAAATAATAAATACAGTACTTTATGTGCATTAAAATTGTTTATTTTTCTTCCACAGTTACTGTTCAGTACGTATAAATAGTTTGAGTTTGATTTATAAAAGTTTAGCACATAAAATTCAAGTTATAAAGGCCGTGACGTAACATCACTGTCAGACCCCAACACCTCAGTATCATGAACTTTTTCGTAGCACCTTCATAACTCAAACATCACTTGCTTGAAAAAATTGGTAACTCGAAAATTTTATCATATCCCTTCAGATTCCAGATATTGAGGTCCTATACTGTATTTCACACCCATATCGACCTTACTTCATCACATCCAGTATCCAAATGAGCTCTCCTCCGCACTGATAAGTTCATGTCTAGGAAAACACAATTATTCTGCTATCTTCACTAGTTCCGTTTGTTCCGCAATTCACCAGCAAAAATCCGATTCCGCTCTCCGCGGAGCTTAAAAATTAGAAAAAAGACTTGGTCTTTTTTTGCAGTGGGGCATGAATGTTGTGTCAATGCCAACACAATTATTTTAATCTTGTAACATTTAATTAAATCTCCATAAGACAGAGTACATTATTTTGGACAAGGGTGGTTTTTAAGGATTACTTAACTATTTAAGCTACTTCACATAATTGTCTTCACCTGTGTGTCGATGTCGTCACAGAAGAGTGCGTACAGTCCGCTGACACACTCGCCGCGGCAGGGTCTCAGTGCTGGTGCGGGGGGCCGCTGGGTGGGTGCCACTGTGGTGGTGGTGGTCGTTGCTGCTGACTTGGTTGCGTTGCGGTCCATGATGACCAGGCTTGGAGGAGCGTCCTCACCGTAGGAGTCACGAGAGACACAGCACCTTAGCCCTTGCTTGCACAGGGACGCAACGTTCAGCACTGCCTCACAGTAGTCTGCTATCCTCTCAGCAACACACACGCCCGGACACGCCTTGGCTAGCAAACACCCACTCTTATAAACTGTTCTACACTCGCTGGAGCAATACAAGCAATACAGTTGATATCTTGCATAATATTCAGATTGGCTATGAAAAGCCTGAAGGATTAGATACAAACACATTAATCACTCATTCAAGAGTTTTATCGTGAAATAGCTGGAGGATAAGGTTAGTTCTGTCTGGTTTTTGTAGAGGGTGGTATTTTTTTTTCTTTGTATTTAACTCTTTTTTTTATAAAGGTTTGAAAAAAATAAAAATATGTAATGAACAATAGCTTGTCTAGTTCTCTGGTAAAGAAGGGTATAGCACAAATCACAAAATCTACATTGAGATAAAAGAGTAAGATTAATGAGTTAGATGTTTTTATGAACATGAAACAGGCATCATAAATGGCCTCAGGTTTTACAAGATGAGCCTAGATGAGCAAGGTTAGTACAACCCCAATATACCAGGGTCAGGGTGCGTATGGGGAGGTGAAGATGACTGAAGGATAAGTATTAAATGGATGAGATTATATAGCTTTGTTAGGCCTACTGAACAAGATGCGCTTTGATGTTTATTTTTTTATCAATTTACTATAGGACGAGAAGTTTATTTGCAGTAACCAAAGTCAATGATTTAACTGTCACCAATGTCAAACCTTGTTTAAAATTAAATAAATTGCCATTCAAAGATTTATCATTGAATAACATTTGTTTAACATATTATCGGCTCTAAACTGAATTTTAAAAATGATTTGGAATGTCCTAAACTGTAGATATAAGGTAAATTAAGTATAACATCAAATGAAGTAATATTTTATAACATCAATATCAACATGATTTTTCCAAACACATAAAATATACTTTCAATGAACAGCTTAATTAATCCATCACATTTTCAAGATTTTCAAAAACAATTGTTATTAGAATGTTCATTGTCAAACTTACAGTGTAGTTTTTACCTGCATCGTCCTTATTTTTTGTCAAGGGAGCCGCTTCTGGCTTAGTTAACCCTGGATCTGGAGTCTGGAATAAAATAGGGTTATTAAAAAAAATATATTAACAAAATACCCCGCAGCAAATGTGCTGACTAAGCGAATTTCAACTTGTCTGATTAAAGTTTAACTAAAATATTTCCAGAAATACATTAAAACATATTTATTCCCCAGTTAAATAACAAATGTGTAAGGTGGGGTTGATGGGGCCTTTAACGAGTGTTTCGGTTTGCTGCTACGGGGAAGGTGAAAAGTGTTTTTGACCAAACGTTAATAGCATATAGGATAAAATTAACACATTTGCCAAATTTTATCAACATATATCCATAAACAAGTAAACTACAACAGTTTTTATTTTTCCCATAAAAATAAAATGAGAATTTTATAAATACACTTTTTTTAATTTTCTCTTTAACCTTTAGACATACAAAAATGCTTCAATATACTAAATTATTTCTTTTTTAAGCTCTACAAAAGGGTTTGGAAAGAAATTTTTTTGGGTCTAAACTGAGAAAACCCAATTTTGACTCTATAAAATCCCCTTTCCCATAGTCCGATCATGTTGGCTCGTCTACTCATTGATGATTATCCCGCCCTACTCCTCCAAGCCAAATTTCATCAAAACGGGACCAAAATTACCTGAGCTATTGTGTTCACACACACATATATTTACATATATAAAAATTTGAACGAATAGTGTTTTTGACCTCTCCTCTAGGGACATCAAAATGAAAAAGTATTTTGGTCCCGGATCTAAGTCTTACCGTGCCACCTGGTAATAGCTACTTATAGGGAAATTCGCTAAAATGAATATGTGGTTTAACACAGCATATTTTATAATCAAGCTACGTTCCCTAGTACAATCTTTTTACATCATGGCCAAAATCTAGTTTGGGCTGGTAACTGTACCATGGTCAAAAGCTGTGACCACAAACCAGTTTCACATACTTACATAATCCAGAAGAAAAAGAAGTGTATCATTAAACTGACTCCCAGAGCAAATAATGGGGAATAATAAACTTAGGAGGGTTGCTAGCTGTTGCTTGTGTACCTTTGACAGGTATCTATTTAAGTAGGGATCCCTTCTTGTAAAGGGTTTGTAATTAAAATAAAATACAGGAATAATATATTAAATATATAATATATTAATAATAATATATTAAATACAATAATATATTAAATATTCTAATAAAACTTAGAAATTATATATAATATTACTTTTTTCCAATTTTTGATTCTTATTAATGTTTCATCAATTATTTTATTATTAATTATTAATTGGTTTCACTTGAGACAAGCCTCGGACCTACTCATTTAATATAAGCTCAGACACAAAAGATGTCATAGACACCGGTGTGTAACCAGTCTAAAACGAATGCTACTGTGACTGACCTGAGAGGTGGAGGAAGGTAGAGGTGACGGTGTTTGCTGAGCGGGGGGTGGTGCTGATGGAGCCTTAGTAGCATTGGCGGGGGGAGACTCTATGCAGCACCGCATGGACGGTGATGGACACGCTACATCCTCCAACACCTCGTAGCATATGAGTGTGGCCAGGGTGTGAACACACACTCCAGGACAATCCTTGCTGTCCGCTGTGCTTGTTATGGTGTCTAGCAAACCTGGAGATAAACAGTGAAGGAGTTAGCCAAATAATTCACATTTAAGATTCAATTATAGTAAGAATACATATTTTTCAAAAGACTAAGTGAAGTATAACTGATCAGTCGAGAGATTAGAGTAGGGCCGCTTCAGTAAATGGCTTCTAGCACAGGGACGCAAGAGGTTTTAGGTTTGTTAGGGGTGCAAGGAAGTGAAAAATCCCCACAAGGTAGTTGGAGAGGAGCACAAATAAATATCTCTCAGGCCCATAGCGCACCACTTGCAAACCACTGGCCTCGATTAGTGATTTCAACTGGTAATCAAAAGGTTGCCGGTTTTATTCTGAGAAAAGTTGGAATAGATTTTTTAAAGTTTTAACCAGCTATTAGGCTATTCCTGAATGTTGGGATGTTGATAAATAGTCAAGGCTAAAGGACTAGCTGATGTCAGTAACCAGGATACACATATTTTTTTACTCCATTCTACACAGCTATTCAGCTTCATACTTACACAAAGTCACTGCTTTAGTGAAATGATTGGATCCTAACCTTTAACTAAACTGTCTGCACTCTAGTTTGAAAACTGTACATCAAAACTGGGTAAAGTAATGTATAGTTGAGTTGAGGAGAATGTTTTTCTTACAAGGTTTCACTCTCATTTCTCATTCATCTATCAATCTTTACCTGGGATCCCTTTTTTCTGCATTTTAGCATTGATGGCGGCCAATAACTATTTCAAACACCAAAGTGATTAGGCCTATGATTTAAATATCTAGTATACTGTTAGATTAGAAATGTCATGGAAGCCAACGGCCATAACATTTTAAGAGCAATGTTCATTTTAGCGAATTTCCCTATAGGGAATAAGCTATTACAGTGGGTCTCATGGTAAGACCTAGACCCGGGACCGATTTACTTTTTCATTTTGAGGTCCCCAGAGGCCAAAACACCCTCTGTTCAAATTTACATATATATATTGCGAACCAGCATGATCGGACTATGGGAACGGGGGTTTATGGGGGGTTTTATGGAGTAAAAATTGGTTTTCCCATTTTTGACCCCAAAAACACAAAAATTTCACATTTTTTCCCCAACCATTTTGTAGATCTTAAAAAAAGAAATAATTTTCTATATTGAAGTGTTGTATGCCAAACAGTTACGGAGATAATTTAAAAAATTGTAAAATTTAAAATCCCCATGTTATTGTAATGGAGAATAAATAAACTGTTGTACTTTGCTTGTTTATGGGTATACTTTAATAAAATTTGTCAATTTTGTATTTCATACTAGCAATCAACATTTCATATATATATATAAAAAAAAAAAAAAAAAAAAAAAAAAAAAACAGCTCAATACCTTCCCTGTAGCAGCAAACAAGATCGCGCCACTCATCCTACAATCATCTCCATTCACACTTGGCTTAAAATACCTACTTTGTATGGTCGCCATTTAATTGAAAATCATATTAAAGTATACTAATAAAAATTAACTTAATGTTATTTAAATAGGAAATAAAATAAATCTGACAATTTTAAGGGAATGTTTTAGTAGAAATCCAGCCAGGAAAATGGAAATTCGCTTAGTCAGCAGGTTTGCTGCGGCGGGTACTTTCACGGGGGATTTCAAACAGCCGCTGAAGAGTTATTTACAATTTACATTCTCAAAATATTTTTACAAACACCAGAGTGATTGTAATTTAAATATCTAGTGGCTACTGTGGGATTAGAAATATTCTTATTGGAGTAGTTCTTTAATTTTACGAGTTAGGATGTCTAGGCTGCTAGGACTCTTAAGTTTCGTCATAGTTTTGACACATGAGCCTGATGTACAATTACGAAATAGTCTTTTTATTTAATTTTGTACAATCGCGTAAGGTATTTCAGTGACAAAAACTAAATGAGATAATAGACAGTGGCAGGCGGCAGGAATGCCAGCCGGGCCCTGCCTTCTCTGTTGACTGCCACTGGAAGATTCTAACGGTGGTGACGTCACGAGTAACGGTTTGCAGACACTGACACTGACACTGATCCACTGGCTCATTTAAGGAAAGTACTTCACCACTCGCATCGTCCATTCATACTCATACAGCACCGAACACCGCGCTGCGCCGTTGCAGATGCATATTAGGTAGCAAGCTCTACACTTTAGATACTGACTTAGTATGCAAACTGTCTTGTCTTTAAATCAACCTTTGAGTGATTGAGTGATTAAAATTGTATTTCTCCCTATAAGTTAGCTAAACTTATAAGGAGCTATAAGTTAAGCTGTACTTAGAGTATCCATCGGTACAGTACACTCTTCTCAAAATCTCAGTAGGACATCGCTCTCTCTCAATCCGGCTTAACCATCTTCATACCTTATTAGTGTTTGATAAGTGATGGTTTTGAGACACTAATTTAACGGCGAATTGAGTATAAAAATATGGCCATGTAAATGTAATCGCACAGCTCAAATTTACCTTTTGATGCTGAAAGTACTTCTCATTCCACTGTAAAAGCTCAAGTAAGTTTTCGCGTAAGTTTCATGCCCAGTAACGTAATATTTTTAAACTGTTGATACATTTACGAACAAGATTTGAAATGATACATTAAAATTACAACTAAAACAAGGGAGAAACAAGAGAGTGAAGAAGTTTTAGTGTCGTCCCTACACGGTCGTCATCCAAAGACCCAGGCGGTTTACCACCTTGAAGAAAGTGTTCTATTTCTTATTTAGATAAAAATTAAAATACCAAAAGAAACTAAACTGTTTTTAACCAAGACAAAAATATCAGTAAAGGAAGTAAATAAACACATAAAAATGGTTAAATATTAATTAAATAACCATAGGGGTTGAACTTCTTTTCAGAGTTTAGTCAGAAAAACATTTGGTAGGTCTTCTGCCTCTTGATGATTGTTTTATTGCAGTTCTTGATTGGGACTGGGAGTAGTTGATCGTGAAAAAGGTTTACTTTTATCTTGAGATATTCTAGATGGTGTAATAGTTGTTTTTCTTCAATATTTGATAGTGAAGAGTTGTTTTGAGTACCATAAAAGTAGTAAATGGCAAAGGATCTGGCATTGTATCTTTGATGGATAAAGGAATAGGATTGTTCGGTTTGGTTTTATTACCTTTGTAAGGCAAAAGGTGGTGTCGATTCCTTCTCAACGTAGTGTTTCCTGTCTTAACCCAGTATGACCTTGGTTCTTTTCATAAACTGATAATAATCCCATCTCTTTTTAGGTCTTGGATCCACACTTTTTTACCTACAGGCAGCAATGGAAGTTCTTTTGTAGCGTAGCGTCTGTCGTAGTTTCTCTTGTATGATGCTATGTAAGTATCGTCTTTTTCCTTTAGTTGAGAGAGACCGGGGTTGATTTCAAGTTTTTTTTAGGTAAAACAGGCAGGTTATCTCGCAGTGATCTCTTGTAGATTAGCTGAGCAGGACTGTATCCATTTGTTGATACAGTATTGTATAATTATATATTCTATGTTTCCATTTCTCTATGTATCTCCATTCCCCTTCCGTTCCACCCTCCAGTTTCATTCCAACTACACACTCTTCCGTCAACTCCTCAACATGTGACCCTGTGTATCTGTTGTGATTACAATGTGGTTTTATTAATAAACTTGTGTTACTAATTACACACTTGTTTTAATTAATTAATATGACCCACAAACATGGCGTCAGGTTATGTTGTTAGTTTTCACTGGTGTGAACAGTAAATTCAGTGCTAGTGAGCAGATTAAAGTGGATTAGTTTTAGGTTAGGTTACGCGAGAATTGCCGTAAGTACCTAGCATAACCTATTACTCAGTGTGGATAATCTTCATTGAAGAATAAATTTCAGTAAGAACTGTCAAATTACCGTAGTAAAATGGCTTCCTCATCATCTAGCCCAAATACAAATGCCAGTATCGATTCAAATATAGGCCCCATAAGTTTAGAAGGAAACCTAGCCCAGAATTGGACGTTTTGGTATCAACGTTTCAAGATATTCCTAACTGCCTCAAACCTTGATAAAGAGGAAGATGAACGGAAAATTGCAATCCTTTTGCATAATTTAGGTGCAAAGTGTTTCGAAATTTTCAATTCCTTTAATCTAGACTCTAATTCATTAACCAACTACAACACTGTGGTAGATAAGTTCCAGGCCTACTTTTCCCCAAAGAAGAACTTGACTGTAGAAAGACACAAATTCCTCACCAGAAAGCAAAATCCCGGTGAAAGTTTTGACTCGTTCTTCACAGATTTGGTTAATAAAAGCTTAAACTGTGAATTCAAAGAACTTCGCGAAGACCTAGTGCGTGATGTAATGATTTGTGGCCTCGAAATTCAGCATATGAAGGAAAGACTTTTACGGGAATCGGACCTCACCCTAAACAAAGCTGTTGCCATATGCAAAGCTGCTGAACTGTCGTCAATTCAAATTAAAGAAATAGAAGGAGCCCAAATTGCCCAAGTTAGTGCCTCAAGCAAATTCGCCAAGCCTAAAGTGACACCCAGCGCTCATCAGTCAAATAGCCAGTCTAAGTTTAGGCCTAATCATAAGAAATTCATTAATAGTTGTAGAAATTGTGGTAGAAATCATTTAGTGAATCAATGTCCCGCGTATGGTATTGAATGTTTTTCTTGTAAGCATAAGAACCATTTTGCAAATTACTGTCAATCTAAGTCAAAACCAACTAATAATCAAATCAAAAGCCAAAATAGGCCTACAAAGTCCTTCAAAAAAGTAAATGAAGTAAATTTTGATGAACTAAATGAGACTCAACCTAGTGAAAACCTAGATGAAAATAACCTACACCTTGAGAATTTCACTATTGAATGTGTGAATCATACTCAAACTTCTGCTGATTGGTTTGAAAACGTAGGAATTAACAGTAAAGTTGTCAAATTTAAACTTGACAGTGGAGCTCAAACTAACCTAATTTCGTTTTCACTTTTCAAAAAGTTAGGTCTAGATCAGAACATAATCTACAAATGTAACGTTACTGTTTCATCTTTCACGGGTCAACAAGTAAATGTCATTGGTAAAGTTG